TGCCTCCCAAGTGCTGGGACTAAAGGCGTGCGCCACCACCGCCCGGCTGTTGTTTGTTTTTTAAGACAGGGTTTCTCTGTGTAACTACTCTAGCTGTAGGTAGACCAGACTGGCCTTGAACTCACAAGAGATTTCCCCCTGCCTCTGTCTCCTGACTGCTGGGACTAAAGGCAAATGGCACTACCGCTCGGCTAACACTTTTTTTTTTTTTTACTTTTTTTTTTTTTAAAGGATGTATGTTAGCTTCATGTACTGGTGAATGCCAAAAAAACAAGCAAATCAAAACAAAACAAAACAACAACACCAAATTCTCTTAAGGCAGGAGGATTGCTGCAAGTCTGAGGCCAGTCTAGATTACAGTTTACTCCAGGTCATCATACCCTGCAAGATCCTGTCTCAAAAATAACAGCAATACACACTATGAGCAAATTCTTTAAGGTTGGGTCCCTAAGTCACTTCTCCCAGGTTTCCCACCGTGTGGGTGCAAGGATCCAATGATGGGCAAGGCAGGCAAGATTCTGTGCTCAGGGTAGCGACTCTGGGGAGGCTGGAAGGCAGGACAAGATGTGGCAGAGCACGTCAGGAACACAGAGAGGTGCTCCAACACGAAACGGGGGCGGAGTCGTCAGGAAAGGACTTCGGTCAACGACTTAGAAGGAACTCTAAGGGGTGCAAGCAGGTCCTCCCTCCCTCGTCCCGGGAGCACACAGGGGCCGAGGCCGGGGGAAGAGTATGCTACCCGGTCACCGGGTCTCCTGCCCGCCCAGCTCGGCGCCGTCGCCCGCACCTGTCTCCTTCACGAAATACTCCCGATACGTCCGCCACCAGTGCGGGGCCCGCGCCTCCTGCTCTGCCCGGCGGCGGTACCGCTCGAAGCTCCGGTACTTCTCCAGCCGCTCCAGGTTGCTCACGTCAATGTCCTCGTTGGGCATAGGTCCGAGAGGGGGCGTCCGGCGGCGGAGGGGCGCTGCGGGTAGAGACGGGGGTGTCACGCCGGCTCCAGGCCCCGGCTGAAGCTCAGGGCTGGGGCTGCAGGACCCCAAGAGCTCCCTAAGCCCACACCACTCACCCGAGGTGCTGAAGCCCCGGCATCTCCCGTTCGCCAACAACGCGGCACGCCACCAGGGCGCCGCCATCTTCCCCCAGGTCGCCAGAGACGCCCGTAGGACCCAGACAGAGGTGGCTAGCGAGAAGCCTGCGCGTCCAGCTGGAGGCTCCGCCCCGCTCCGGCCAGCCCCGCCTCTCGGAAGGCTCCGCCCTATGGATTCAATCTCCAGACTTAATTTTGAAAGCTCGGGGGACCTTTCCCAGGGCGACAAGACTACAAGCTGCACTTGGGCTGAGAGTTGCCACTAGGCAGTAGCACGGACGTATAGCTCCAAGAACAACTATGGGTTTTGACCCGGGAGATCCCATGACACAGGGATTGGTGGGGAGTATTCTGGAGTCAGAGTTGGGAATAAGACAGGTGATAACAGCGCTCACTTCCTAAATCTGTTAGGATTTGCACGCTGGCGTATCTGTTATCTCTTGCTTGTCTCCAGTTCATAGCTCTGGTGGTCTCTATCTGCTTCTGTCCCAGCCGCAGTCCCTCGGCCCTGGAACTAAAACTTCCAATACAGCAAAGCTTCACATCCTCAGCTTCTCCCCAGACCACAGGGTGCATGTAGTGCTGTTATGACTTTTCCCTCAGTGACCTGCCTGCCTCGAAGTGGTTCCAGAAAGTCTTGACGTCTCAAGTCCAGGCTGATGGCAATCAGTTGCTTTACTAGCAGCTATGCGATCCTCCAGCATAAACGACCACATCTTAGATTTCATTACTTCCAGACAGCTAAACCTTGCTCATCACTTTTGTACATAAAAAACCTTCTTTCTTTCTTTCTTTCTTTCTTTCTTATTTATTTATTTATTATCCCAGGTGTAGTTCCCCTTCCCTCCTCTCCTCCCACCCCCTTCTGTTCCCACCTCCCAGTCCATGTCCCCTGTTTCTGTTCAGCGACCTAGGCACTCTTCGTGTGTTACAGTTGTGTAGCTTGGTCCTCTTGTGGGACTCCTATCAGTGGGAGCAGGGGCTGTCTCCAACTCTTACTAGCTTTTCGGACCTTCCTCCTCATACTGGGTCGCCTTGCCCAGCCTTAACGGGGAGGTGCTTAGTCTTACTGCAACTTGATGTGCCGTGTTTTCTTGGTACTCACCATCACTTCCAATTCCTCCAACAGCGAGCGAGCACCTGCTGTCCGGCAAGTGTTGGCTCTCACAGGTCAGGGACACCAGAGCCTTGCCCGGAGGAGTTCATAATTATGGAACAGTTCCTGCCGAGTGTTAGGGGAACCAAAGGCATCCTGCAGGATGTTTAGAAGATCTTACTTGCTGTACACGAGCCTCTAAGCTCCTTTCTCTGCCCTTGTACTGCTGAAGACACAGAGGATCTCCAGGAAGGGTGGAGGCTCACTGCTCACCCAGGCGGCCTGTTCTTCACTTTCATTCTGCTTGTCTGGGAAGCTCTGAAGAATGGGGCTTTGGATTTCAACTGTTTGAGAGGCCAAGTGTGAATTCATACATTCTGACTAGAAGCAACAGCTCCAACAATATTAAATTTAAATGAGTTAGGGTTTTGTTATGTGTCCCTACCTACCTTGGCACTTATTTTGTAGTCTGGCTAACCGTGAACTCATGGTAATCTTTTTTTTTTTTAAATATTTATTTATTATGTATACAATATTCTGTCTGTGTGTATGACTACAGGCCAGAAGAGGGCACCAGACCTCATTACAGATGGTTGTGAGCCACCATGTGGTTGCTGGGAATTGAACTCAGGACCTTTGGAAGAGCAGGCAATGCTCTTAACCACTGAGCCATCTCTCCAGCCCCCATGGTAATCTTTTTTTCCTCCTGAGACAGGGTTTCTCTGTGTAGCCTTGGCTGTCCTGGAACTCGCTCTGTAGACCAGGGTGGACTCTATCTCCCAAGTTCTGGGATTAAAGGTGATAAAGGCCTTATCACAGCCCAGCTTCACAACAATCCTCTTATAGCAGTCTTCTGAACGCTGGGATGACAGGCATGTGGGCACCACTCATCTGAGTGATGCTGCCACCATGTCAGGCTGTCAGAGATTTGGGCTCCTCATCACGACTTCCTTTCTTTTTTTTTTTTTTTTTTTGGTTTTTCGAGACAGGGTTTCTCTGTGGTTTTGGAGCCTGTCCTGGAACTAGCTCTTGTAGACCAGGCTGGTCTCGAACTCACAGAGATCCGCCTGCTTCTGCCTCCCGAGTGCTGGGATTAAAGGCGTGCGCCACCACCGCCCGGCTACGACTTCCTTTCTGATGCATGTTCGGGTCCCTAGGAGCACAGTAAGGTGCAGCTCTGCCCTCTGTCCCTTCCCGTGCACTGCACCACATAGACACACACACACACACACACACAAGCGTACATACGCTTCTCATATTCACTCCTGTCCCCTCTTGTCTTTTGTAGCTCACAGCCACGACTGGTTTTCAAATATGTGAACGTGGGGCCGGAAAGATGATTCCGCTGTTGGGTGAGAGTACAGGCTGTTGTTCCAGAGGACCTGGTTAGGTTCCAGCACCCACACTGGTGGCTCCCAACTGCCTGTAGGGGACCCAGTGTCCTCCTGGCACCCACACTTAGAAATGCAGAAGTCCTTCATAAAGTGTCAGTGAGCAGTGCTTACCCTGATAAGCTCAAACTTGTCAAGGTTTTATGTTCGTGGGTGTTTTGCCTGCATGTATGTCTGCATGCCATGTGTATGCTTGATGCCACATGGGTCAGCAGAGGGCACTGGATATCCTGGAGCTGGAGATACAGAGGGTTGGGAACTGCCACGTGGGTGCTAGAAATGGAACCGAGAACCTCTACAAGAACAGCAAGTGTTCTTAACCATGGAACCATCTCTTTTATTCTTTTTAAATACAAAGTCTTTCAGTGTAGCCCAGACTCCTAGAGCTCACAAGCCTGCAGTCAACTTCCTGAGTGCTGGGAGTACAGGTGTTTACCACCACAGCCAGCCACGTGCAGACTCCTGAACAATGTAACACTAGGCTGCCTTCACCTGCTAAGTCTCAGCTTGCTTCACTACTTAGGAAGACCAGGGTGTTTGGGACACTCTTTGTAGCGCCTTCCTTCCCATGTGCTGGAAGTCACCCACTTTCCCTTCAGGTGGTGGCAAACAAAAATGCAAGGTGGCCCCGTACATGCCAGCTGATTACCCATCTTTAGATCCACAACTAAACACGCAAGTTTAACTCACAACTGTTTATGTGTTGAGAGCACTGAGTCCCAGGCTCGTTTAGTCCTTATGGGCACCAGCTAGAGCAGCAGCATCACAACTGCCCTGTGTGTCACATCCTCTTCCCCTATGGGAACTCAAGCCCAGGCCCTGCTACTTGTTGTCCTGTGCAAGGGTTTGTAATCCCCAAGTGTCCTCTTCCACCCTTGAGGCAGAGGTCATGAATTACTCCCTTCCAGGTATCCCGAAGGATAGCAGGTGCCAGAGGAAAGGGTATAAGGTCAAAGAAGCCTGTGCCTGACCACTTTAGGTCAGCCTTCTGCAGGACTACCTGCCTCTTCTGTGGACTGTTTTCCAAAATAACAGCAGCATAAAGCAAACACTGTATTTCATTCTCTTTTTTCAGAGAAAGGGTCTCTCTACACACCCCTGGCTGTTCTAGAACTTGCTCTGTAGATCAGACTGGCCTCCAACTCAAGAGATCCACCTGCCTCTGCCTCCTGATTACTCGGATTAAAGGTGTGTGCCACCACTTATTCTGCAGTCCAGCTGACCTGGCTGGGAATGTTCTGTAGCTCAGACTTAATCTCAAATTTAAGGCAATCCCACTTCTTCAGTCACTTGAGTGCAGAGATTACACATGTGAGCCACAACTGGCCAGGGCAAACATTCTAATAACTAAGGATACATTTCAGTGGGCCCTAGCAAACTCTAAGGACCTAGATAATAGGAACATATGGATAGGCTTAAAGGGTAACTAAGGGGAAGAACATTTATTTACCCACCATGTGTACAGCCCCAGGTTCGGTCCCCAGCAATGCAAAAACAAAATAGAATAGCAAAGAATAGAGCAGTTTAATGGGCCCAAGAGAATTAGGTTCCTTTGAGAATAGCTCTGGGGAGCATAGGCAGACTCTGGCTCACCCTCTCGCACCATCCTCCTCTGCCCCTGCTCCTGTGATCACACCTTCATGTGTCTCCTCTGCCCCTGTGATCACACCTTCATGTGTCTCCTCTGCCCTGTGATCACAGCTTCATGTGTCTCCTCTGCTCCTGTGATCACAGCGTCATGTGTCTCCTCTGCCCCTGTGATCACACCTTCATGTGTCTCCTCTGCCCCTGTGATCACAGCTTCATGTGTCTCCTCTGCCCTGTGATCACACCTTCATGTGTCTCCTCTGCCCTGTGATCACAGCTTCATGTGTCTCCTCTGCTCCTGTGATCACAGCGTCATGTGTCTCCTCTGCCCTGTGATCACAGCGTCATGTGTCTCCTCTGCCCCTGTGATCACAGCGTCATGTGTCTCCTCTGCCCTGCCCCTGTGATCACACCTTCATGTGTCTCCTCTGCCCTGCCAGTGATCACACCTTCATGTGTCTCCTCTGCCCTGCCCGTGATCACACCTTCATGTGTCTCCTCTGCCCTGTGATCACAGCTTCATGTGTCTCCTCTGCCCCTGTGATTACACCTTCATGTGTCTCCTCTGCCCTGTGATCACAGCTTCATGTGTCTCCTCTGCTCCTGTGATCACAGCGTCATGTGTCTCCTCTGCCCTGTGATCACAGCGTCATGTGTCTCCTCTGCCCTGTGATCACAGCTTCATGTGTCTCCTCTGCTCCTGTGATCACAGCGTCATGTGTCTCCTCTGCCCCTGTGATCACACCTTCATGTGTCTCCTCTGCCCTGTGATCACAGCGTCATGTGTCTCCTCTGCCCTGCCCCTGTTATCACACCTTCATGTGTCTCCTCTGCCCCTCTGATCACAGCTTCATGTGTCTCCTCTGCCCCTGTGATCACACCTTCATGTGTCTCCTCTGCCCCTGTGATCACAGCTTCATGTGTCTCCTCTGCCCTGTGATCACACCTTCATGTGTCTCCTCTGCCCTGCCCCTGTGAACACACCTTCATGTGTCTCCTCTGCTCCTGTGATCACAGCTTCATGTGCCTCCTCTGCCCTGTGATCACACCTTCATGTGTCTCCTCTGCCCTGCCCCTGTGATCACACCTTCATGTGTCTCCTCTGCCCTGCCCCTGTGATCACACCTTCATGTGTCTCCTCTGCCCTGCCCCTGTGAACACACCTTCATGTGTCTCCTCTGCTCCTGTGATCACAGCTTCATGTGCCTCCTCTGCCCTGTGATCACAGTGTCATGTGTCTCCTCTGCCCTGCCCCTGTGATCATACCTTCATGTGTCTCCTCTGCCCTGCCCCTGTGATCACACCTTCATGTGTCTCCTCTGCCCTGCCCCTGCGATCACACCTTCATATGTCTCCTCTGCTCCTGTGATCACAGCTTCATGTGTCTCCTCTGCCCCTGTGATCACAGCTTCATGTGTCTCCTTGCCCTGTGATCACACCTTCATGTGTCTCCTCTGCCCTGTGATCACACCTTCATGTGTCTCCTCTGCCCTGTGATCACACCTTCATGTGTCTCCTCTGCCCTGCCCCTGTGATCACACCTTCATGTGTCTCCTCTGCCCTGCCCCTGTGATCACACCTTCATGTGCCTCCTCTGCCCTGCTCCTGTGAACACACCTTCATGTGTCTCCTCTGCTCCTGTCCCTGTGATCACACCTTCATGTGTCTCCTTGCCCTGTGATCACACCTTCATGTGTCTCCTCTGCTCCTGTGATCACACCTTCATGTGTCTCCTCTGCCCGTGATCACACCTTCATGTGTCTCCTCTGCCCGTGATCACAGCTTCATGTGTCTCCTCTGCCCCTGTGATCACACCTTCATGTGTCTCCTCTGCCCCTCTGATCACACCTTCATGTGTCTCCTCTGCCCCTGTGATCACACCTTCATGTGTCTCCTCTGCCCCTCTGATCACACCTTCATGTGTCTCCTCTGCCCCTGTGATCACAGCTTCATGTGTCTCCTCTGCCCCTGTGATCACAGCTTCATGTGTCTCCTCTGCCCCTGTGATCACACCTTCATGTGTCTCCTCTGTTCCTGCTCTTGTGGGCACACCTGCTCAGGTGGAAAGCAAGGAGCACCCCTGAATGCAAGCTGCTGTATTAACAACTGTGGTTTCTTTCTGAGTCCTTCTGTCCTGGTCTGCCGGATCATTTCCCCTCCCCTGCCAACTCCTGATACCCTGCTTGGCATACCAAAGACTGGAGGAGCAGCAGCAGCTCAGCTGTGTGGTCCCTCACAGGCCCCAAGGGTACCTTATTTCCAGGCAGAGGCTCCAGCTCCTGAAATCTTCCTCCCTCCTCTGCTTCTCCATATACCCTCGGGTCTACAGTTCCCCATGCCCACCTCTGGTAGAGACTTGGATGGGAGGAAGGAGCTAGTGTGTTCATGTTGAGTTGGCTAGTTACCAGGGAGTAATGGGAATGAGATGGGGCTCAGAGGCCCTTCTCCCTATTCCCTAGTGGGAAGGAACCTCTCAGTCAGGGAGAAGTAGATGACTATTCATGGTGTCCCACTCTAGTGCCCTGAGAAAAGCCCAGGCATGAGACTCTCCAGTGGCTGCCCTGTAGAAGGGGGTGATGATCTGGGGCCTTACTATGGGACAGGAGTGGGCGATTGGTGGTAAGAAGGCCTTGATGTCATTGCTCCCTTGGGGAGGCACCTGCTGTCCCTTAGCTGGGAAGAACACACGGATACTCTGTCCGCAGAGAAAGCTGTAATCAGGCTCTGGGTAGTGCGCCACCTTCCTAGGAGCCTCCTCCGGGGAGGGGGAGCTCTGGGTCGGGCTGGCTGAGGAGGCGCTGGCTATCATCAGGCAGAATGGTATGCCATGTTGTAGGGCGCCTTCTTCAGAGTTTCCAGGAAGAACTGTTCATTCTCCAAGAAGTCGTGGTCCTGTGAGGCAGGCAGATTCAGGTGAGCGCTCACACTTCTGTGCCCTGACAGGGTATTCCTGACCCTGGAGAGCCAGCCTGTGCTGAGGAACTCCCTGCACTGGGGAGCAGTGGGGGTACGTGGGAGCTCAGGCATGGAATGAGACAGGCCATGATGTCAGTCCTGACAAGGACTTGAGAGTCTTGGAATTTATCAGCAATGACCTCATGCCTCTAGGCCAGTGTCTTCATCTACAAACTGATAAGACTGTCTCATGGCTGGGCATGGTAGCTCACATTTGTAGTTCCAGCAATGGAAGGAGGACTGCATGCAAATCCAAGGCTAGCCTGGGCTACAGAGAGAGACCCCATCTCAACAAAACAAGCAAACAAAAAGCAAACAGGAAGGAAAAGGCTAAGGCTATGGCTCTGCAGGGCTGTGAGGAAGGCAAGCTCACGAATTCCTGCCTGAGGACACTCACACTCCCCTCCTGCCCCCACGCAGAGTGCCTTGCTAGAGGCACATGCAGTCTTTGGCCTGAGCACACCATGTGGGACCTGCGCCTTGAGTGGCCGCCATTGCCACTGACGTCATAGGTTATTTGCAGGTTAAGAGGGCACTGCTGACCTCTTGTAGAACAGGTCTTAGCTATGTGGGCAGTTTGCCGCCTCTTGTCTTTTTTTCCTCCTGGCAGATTTTCACTGTGTAGCCCTGGCTGGTCTAGAACTTCCAATGTAGATCAAATTGGCCTTGAACTCAGATATCTACCTGTCTCTGTCTCCCAAGTGCTGGGGTGAAAGTTGCAGGCTCTGTATTTTTTTTTTGAGACAGGGTTTCTCTCTGTGTAACCTGGCTGTCCTGGAACTCACTTTGTAGACGAGGCTGGCCTCAAACTCAGAGATCCACCTGCCTCCCAAGTGCTGGATTAAAGATGTGTGCCACCATCACCTGGCTCAAAACCAATTTTAACAGGGGGTATTACTGGGGATTGAACCAGGGCACTGTACAAGTTAGACAAGCATTCTACCATTTAACAAATCCCCAGGCCTAGTGGTCTATTCTTCCCCTTCATGAGCAGGGGCCAGACCTCCTTAGAGCCTTGGAGGGACAGTCCGTTATAAATGTGTGTGCGAGAACCCGAGCCCAGCGGCACTCACCTGCTCTGCTGTGTGCTTCAGCAGCAGCAGCTTGGCAAGAAGGTGTGTGGGCACTGAGGCAGCAGGTGTCTGGCTACGCTGAGGAATGGTGGAAGCAGGGGCCTGGATGGCTGACAAGAAAGGCAGGAGCCAATGTCAGGGAGAAAACTGAGAGGCCTGGTTTTTCCTGCAGGACCCATACCCACATTGCATACACGGGAAGAGCCTGGCCCCATGTCCTGGAGACTCTGGAAAACCCAGGTTCCAGTCATAGCATCCACATGGCAGCTCCCAGGCATTTGTAACTCCAGTTCCAGGGGATCTGATGCCTTCCTCCAGTACAGAATATCCCCCACAACATTCTTTAAAAAGGACAAGGCACACTGTACTGGAGCAGACTCCTGGTAACCTCCTGTGGGCTCTACAGATGCATGGGTGCACAGACCTACATACAAAAAGAACAAGGAAGAAAGAAGACTTGGAGCCTATGGTGGCAGAGCAATCCTAACAAGGGGTAGCAGAGGGAGGAGGAATAATCTGAGTTCAAAGCCTGCCTGGTCTACAAGGTCAGACTCCACAGAAACAAAAACAAACAAATAACAACAGCAAAAAAGTGTGGTGGCTCATTAATCCCAGCACCAAGAAACACAGGCAGGAGAATTTCTAACTGTGAATTCAAGGCCAGCCTTGTCTACTTAGTGAGTTCCAGGAGAGCCAGGGCTACATAGTAAGACCCTGTCTCGAAACAAAACCAGAAATAACAAAACTCCCCTCAAAAAGGAAAACAAAGCTGGTGGCGCATACCTTTATCCTAGCACTTGGGAGGCAGAGGCAGGCGGATCTCTGTGAGTTCGAGAGCCTGGTCTACCAAGCGAGTTCCAGGACAGCCAAGGCTACATAAAGAAACCCTGTCTTGAAAAACAAAATAAAACAAAAATAGACAAAATAAAGGGGGTGGGGCTAGAGAGATACTCAATAGCTCAACAGTAGACACACCTATAATCTAACATTCAGGATGCTGAGGCAGGAAGATCTGAGTTTGAACTCAGCCTGGGCTCCAAAGCAAGACCCTGTCTTCAAATAAATAGCTTTAAGCAGCTCCTATTGAGTGGCTGGAGGAGGTCCTGCCACTACTACTCCCACTGTGTCCCATCTTCTTGGAGTCACTTACCATCCATGCTGGCCACTTCAGGGCCCTGAAGTGTGGAGCGCAGCCCTGGAAGGCTGAAGGGCATATCTTGCCGCACACGGTCCAGCTGCAGCCTCTGCTGTGCCAGGCTCAGATGCTCCTGCGCCCAACCCCCAAAAGATGGACTCAGTGAGAAGGACAGGCAGGTGGGCTTGAGGGACAGAAGAGTGGGGACTGGAACCTTACCTGGTGCATACGCTGCTCCTGCTGCCGCAGCCATTCCTGCTGCCGCTGAACTGCCTGCAGCCGGCCCTGCTGCTCAGACTGCATCTGCTGGGCCTCCTGCAGGGCCTGTTCACCCTCCTCGTACTTCTTGGAGGCCACCTGCAGCGAGACCATGGGTCAGGGCTAGCTAGAATCACATGGTGGCTCATCCCACAGCCCTTCCAAAACACACCTTGCTCATGTGTTCCAGCTCCTGTGCACGGGCCTGGAGGCGCAGGCTGGCCTTGTGTAACCTGTCCTTCTCCAGCCGAAGCTCCTGGCGCTCTCTCTCCAAAGCCTCTCTCTCAGCAGCCAGCTTTTCCTCCTTGGCCCGTAGCTCACAGGCCCTGACTGTCAGCTCTGCCTGCTCCTGAGAAGGTGGAATCAATGCTGAGGTCCCCCATCCAGAGCTACACCAGGCTCCAGACAGCCCTTGGGGACTCCTTCCCCCCTCACCTCTGGCAGTGGACAGTAGAGCAAGGGGCTTCTTGGACATGGATCAGAGAAGCCTGAAGCCCAGTTTGGGGGCCCCCACACAAGTCATGTAAATTCAGTATGTCCAGTGTCTCTAATATCACTTACCTCACTTGCATATCTGAGTCAAAGGAACTGACTAGCAAGTAAGACAAATATGCACAGTGCCTGAGAAAAGGAAGTTACCCAGGGTGCTGACTGCTGCTCCAATTTCTTGCCATGTCCAGCTGTGTGCTCTTATTTCCTAGGCCTGGGATCATTTGCACACAGCTGGGAGGCAGGGCCACTGAGGCTCTGAGCCCTACCTTGGTCAGGCTGATGATGGTGCCCTCCCTCTGGGAGTCTGCATGGAGCGCCCTCTCAGCCTCGCGCTCGGCCCGTTCCTTACTCAGCTTCTGCTGTGTGAAATACTCGGCCCACTCTGCTGCCAGGCGACGGCGCTCCTCCCCACACTTGTTCATGACTGACTTCTGCTCCTCTAGCAAGGCACTCTGCGTGGGGGCAGGAGGGGAGTGTGAGTGTCCTCAGGCAGGAATGGTGGGGTCAACAGCTGAGGGTGGAGCTGGACTCACCTTGGCTCTCTCCAGCTCCTCCCTCTCCATGGAGAGTTGCTGGACCATGACCTTTCTCTGCTCCTCCAGGCTGCGCTGTGCAGACTCTGCCTTGGACTTCTCAGCAGCTACCCGCCAGCGTTCCTGCAAGGCCCAGGACAGAGCTGAGGGTTGGCTCCCTACTCTAGGAGCAGACCAGACTGTTCCAAAAGAGTTGGGCAAATCTGGCTTCTCTCAGGCTAAGTCATAAAACCCTCATTTCCAAAGAAACACGAAGTGACAGGTGCTTGGGAGGTACTGCCCAGGTCCAGCTCCTGCAGTTCTGAGTTAGGAGGCTCCAGTACTCAGGTCAGACTATACCACAGGGAAGGTTCGAGAGTGCCCTGCCCTGAACCGCCAGGTCTGACCCATTACCTATCAGTCACACATGTTGGGAACCCACTGTTTCCGTAAGCGTGAGGGGAGAAGCTCAGCAAGTTTAGTCTTCCTTAAAGACTAAAGCGTAGGGACTAGAACCATGGCTCAGCAGTTAAGAGCACTGACTGCTCTTCCAGGGGACTGGTCAGTTTCCAGTACCCCAGAACGGCTCACAACCATCTGTAACTCCAGTTCCAGAGGATATGATGTTCTCTTCTGGCCTCCAAAGGCAAAACACCCACACACATTAAAAATGAAACAAAACAGCTAGGTGGTGGTGGTGCACGCCTTTAATCCCAGCAGAGGCAGGCGGATCTCTGTGAGTTTGAGGCCAGCCTGGTCTACAAGAGCTAGTTCCAGGACAGGCTCCAAAACCACAGAGAAACCCTGTCTCGAAAAATCAAAAAAAAAAAAAAAAAAAAAAGGAGACCAAAGCTCACTTTCATCTATGAATGACATGTAGGGTTGTCACATAAGGGGTTAACTGACATTTAGTCAAGAGTATCCATCCCAGTGTCACAGGGGTGAGGTGATGTGACAGATCTGAGTGACAGGAGGAAGAGAGGACTCTGCAGGGTGGCTTGACGAACAGGTGTTGGAGGACCCAGCGCAGGGCTGAGCACAGAAGAGGAAGAGACAGGAAGAATAAGCCTTGGCCACTGCCGGCTTGAGTGGAGGAGAGAATGGCTGCGCATGGGTTTGACCTATTGGCTAGAGTCAAATCAGAGTGGCTGAGATCACAGGCGGCCCTGGTCTGAAAATTTCCTGTACACCAGGACAGCCTCACCTGTTCCAGGAGCCGGCTCTGCTCACTCAGGCGCACCTCCATCTTCCCAATGACCTCCTGGAGTCGGCTGCGCTCTTCCTCCATGTCTCGCTGCTGCCGGCCCAGCCGCTCCTGCAGAGCTGGGGGCAATACACAGGGTGCTCACTGACTGCCGTCCTTCCTAACATGGGGGTCTCAGTTACAGAGAGGGGCTACCTCGCAACTGCTCATCTTGCTGCCGGATCCCCAGCTCCCGTTCCTGTGAAGTGGTGAGGTGTGAGGCCTCCACGCGGGAGGACAGCACATTCAAGCTGCTGGAAAATTTCTCCATCTGCTCAATGATGCCATTCAGGGACCTGAAGGATTATCAAAGCATCTCATCCCGGGCACGCCCAGGACACCAGGCCCAATCAATCCCTTGGGCAAGCAGCACCAGGTAGCACACATACCGAGTATGGGACGTGGCACTGGTGACAGCATCGATCTCTTGGTCCTTCAGCATCTTTAACCTCTGCAGTTGGTGCTCGTGGTCCTTGCGCATCTCCAGGATGGATGCCCTGAGGGGACGGCAGCAGAGGCCAGGAAGGCCAAGGGTCACTGTGAGCAGGGCCACAGATGACACCAGAGACTGAAAGGAACATGCCTCTGAGCACCATCTCCTCCTCCTCCTCCTTCAGGCAGAGCCTCAGTTTCCTGGCTTTTCTGTCTCATCTCTCATGGCTTCCATGCCACGTGCACATCCACCCTGCTGCTCAGCAAAGGATCCCTTTCTCAGCACTGGAGGAAGCTATGTGCCTAGCCCTCTGTGCTCGCCCATGGGCTGCTCTGCCCTCCAGAGTCTTTTCTTAGTTCCATTCCCATCCAGAGAGGCTCAATGCATGACTTTTCAGACCCCCCCATTCCAGCAGAGTGGGTGGAACCCTACCCATGAGAGGCAATGGGTTGGTGTGCTCAACCTTGAGCCTCCATCTCAATGGGCTGAAGGGAAGGGCAAGCTTATGCACAGGCTGTAGAGCCACACTGGTCTCCCGGGCACTGCTGTCAGCCGGCCAACCCTCATTAAGCCTACTCCCCAGCCCCTGCCCATCCTCTTGTCAGTCCTGCAAGGCCACTCCCTAGTCTCCTTACTGTTGCAGCTCCCGAAGTCGTGCCACCTCCTGGTCCTTCTCCTGTGCAGCCAGGGCCAATTGCCGCTGGTGCTGGGCTATGAGCTCAGCCCTGGCCTGCTCAGCTTCCCGGCAGTATGATGCATGCTGAGTTGACAGCGCCTCCTTCTCTCTGCGGAGCTGCTCCTCCCGCTGCTGGTAGGATGCTTCTAGTACCTTGACGCGGCTTCTGTCAACAGAACACCCACCTAGAGGGTCTCACGGAGCACACTGACATGATCCTGGGGCCCAGGAGATCTGAACATGAGCTCGGGCAGCCCCCAAGACTGGAGACAGCGGATACCTGTGCGCATCTTCGATGAGCTCCAGGTCGGCCTGGTGCCGCTGCTGCAAACTCTCCAGCAGCATGCTGTGCTGGGTCCGCTCCAGCTCCAACTTGCGCACCTGGGCATGGGTGAAGCAGTGCGGTAGGGACCTTCAAGCAGCCAATTCACATCTTGTGCATTCAGCCCTCCTCCCTCCTGGTGATGCCTCCAACTGCTTCCTAGGACAGTGGCCCTCACTGCCCTGCAGCTCTCACCTGGGACTCCAGCTCGGCCAGCTTGGTCTGGCTCTGCAGCAGCTCAACCTGAAGCTGGGCAGTGCTGCTTGGGAACTGCCCTTGGGCAACCAGGAGTTGCTTCTGGTATCCTGAGCCTGGCAGCAGACTTTGCATCACAGACTCTGGGAGCAGGGGCTGTGGGAGAGGATAAGAGCTGTTCCAACCAGAAGCTGACAGGCCTCTTGCTGAGCTCCTCCGCCTCCACACCCGGACATCTTGGCCATCCTTTAAGGTAGCTAGAGACCAGAGTTCTAGCAGAACAGGATCTTGGCGAGTTCTAGGCCTTGGCCTTGCAAGGAAGTCATCAGAGCTCTGGTCAGCAAACAGAGCAGCCTCCCTCCCCAAGGACATCCTCCTCAGTGAGGAGCCATCACTAGCCTGAGAGAAACAAATGGCTCAGTTATGACAGTAGCTTCTGCCCTGGCCCTTTAGGTCGGGCCAATAGGCCTAGGTGACAGTTGGTTGCAGTCAGGTCCCTTCAGGGACTTACTCCTGGCTGTCCTACCTCCCAGGCCCAGAGATGCAGAGGGAAGATGCATAGATGGGGATGTCTTCAAGCGCAACAACAGGACAGCTGTAGTCAGGGGCTGGCCTGCCTGGAACTATAGACCAGGCCTGACCTCAAACTTGATTTTCTACCTCAGTCTTCTAGTCCAGGTGTTTGTGTGAGATGGAACATGGTGGTGCTTTGAGTGATATTGTCCCCATAGGCTCATGTTTGAATGCTTGGTCCCTGCTCAGTGGAACTGTTTGGGAAAGATTCAGGTATGGCCTTGTTGGAGTAGATGTGACCTTGTTGAAGGAGATAGGTCACTAGAGGTGGGCTTTGAAGCCCATGCCAGGCCCAGCATCTTTCTCCGGTTCTGCTGCCTAAGGATCAGAATGTAACAGTAACTAAGACTACATTCTTTTCTCTTTTTTTTTTTTTTTTTTTCAGTACTGAGGACTGAACCCTGGGTATTGCACACGCCAGGCAAGCTTCCTCTAGAGAGCAACCCTCACCCCTCTTGAATCCAGGCTGGGTTGGAACTCACTATGTAGCTTTAGGCCAACCTCAAACATGTGGTACTCTTCCTGTCTCAGCCTCCTGAGTACAATTGAGTACAATGCCAAGTCTGTACTAATGCCTTCTCAGGGGAACATCCCAAGCTGCTCCTACACAGCAGCCAGCTCCAGTTCCCTACTGATGCTGGCAGTTATAGCCACCTCCACTCGGGAGTAGAGAGGCTAAAAGTCCAGGAAGGGCTAATGAGGGACACCAGAGCGAGTGGGCAATGGCCTACTGGATATACGGGATATATTCTAGCAGAATGTCAAAGTCCAGCTCCTGGGGCAGGGGAGAATTGTTCTTTGGGCCCAAGACCTATACCTGTTTGTCCACCTTCCCTACCTGGACAGGCACAGAGAGCCCCGTGCGGTCCTGGGAATGTGGAACATAAACTGCAGGCTCTGAAAAGTTGACAACAGAAAAGAGAAGAAGGTTCAGAGGAATGCGGAGCCAGGGGCATCTGGGAAGAGTCCCTGTCACTCATCTTCCAGAGTCCCCAAAGGAGCTCAAGGTACCTCTTCCTCACCCACAGCTAAACTCCAAAGAAGGAAACAAACCTCTGCTAGAGAAGTCCCCAGAGGCAGAGGCCATTCCCATCTTGGGGTCACCGACAGGGAGGACAGTAGTGGCTGGGCTCCAACTCATGGCGGATCTGGGGACAAAGATGAGGGCACATTGATCGGCTTCTGTGTCAGACAGAAGTAGAGAAGGGGAAGCAAAGAAAAACACTGGATTCAAATACTGGGTGAAAAGGTCTCAGGGCTGGTACTCTACTGAACCGAAGGATCAGCTGCACTGGTGGCTTGGTAAAGGAGGTGGTATGTGCCCTCAGACATCTCTGTCATCTAGGCATAGACGCAGAACAAGACAGAGTCAGCAAGCCACCTTGGGTCCCAGCATAGTCATCATCTATCCAGGAAAGGAGGCCTGGGCTGGCCCCGTTACCCTCACGCCCTCCCAGCCCTGTCTCTGGACATACCCTGTGATGCCAGGTCTGACAGCTGCAATCCCTTGTGTAGCTGCTCCCGAGGCTTCTCCAGCAGCGGCCTGCTCAAGGGCCTGAGTGCTCGCAACAGGTTGGCTGAGGAAAGTCCATATTAAAAGTGAAGGCTCATGGTAAGCTACAGAAAGACAGCCCCAGACATGCCCCTAGCATGAAGCTTACGGCAGTCTTCTCCTGCCTCTTGGACTGTGTTCTAGGCTGGGCTCCTAGAGTTTGTGGGCCTGCTGCCCACCTCGGCATCCATTAATCACAGCACCCAGGGGCACGTCACACACACTGGAGCTGAGTTCAAGCTCAACCGCTGCATCCTTCATTTATCTTTGTTCAGTCTTGGACTCTAGTGCGGCTCAATCACCCCTCCCCACAGCTAACCCTTGGATCACTCTCTTCTATTAGTTCCCCTTCTTTCTTAGCTCTCCCTTCAATCTCCGGTCACTGTCAACACACCAACACACCAACTCTAGGAAGTCTAGGACACGGTAGTGGTGTCCCAAGACTCTCACAAAGTCACACAATCTCCCCCGCTTGGTTCTGGTTGCAAGGTTTGTCACTGTTTCCTCTGGACTTGGCCTTGTTGGCCCCTTTCCCTTCCCGCCTACAGGGGTCACTCACTCCCCAGCCTCACTGGAATGGACAGCCATTCTATCGTTCTCAGGAGCTGCCTCTCAGCTTCCACGTTTGCTCGAACGCTTCCAAGAGGATACAGGAAGCTCAATTCATACATGCATTAGCCACTTTTAACGAGCTGACAGAAACACCTATATTTGGCACAGTGGGTTTCTTTGCCAGTTTGACTGGTACTGTGGACAAGGCTGTAGCTCAGACAAACAGACAGTGAATCCTGATACCTCAAAACATCCTCTGTTTTGTTTTGCCCAATCCAGTCAGTACCTGTCCCCACAGCAGTCAGGGCATGGGTGTCACCAGCACCTGGCAGCAAAGCGGAGCTGGCATCAGTGGCCACAACAGTGTCTCTAACAGAGAATGACAGGTAAGGTGGGCAAAGCTAGCCCCTCAGCCTTGCCAAATCCTTTCCACCAACCGTGGTGGCCCATGCCCATACCTGCTAGAAGGGGTCTGACCCGATGATCCCAATGAGTTCAGGCCCTTAGAGGGCGCAGCATGCTCCTCTCTGGCTAGACCGTGGGATTTCTTCTGAGAAATGACATGGCTCAGCCAGTCGTCGTCCTTCTCCTCAGAGGTTTTTGGTGAGGCCTGGCTGGCTTTGGGAGAGGGCCTTGCACCCTTGGCTGCTGGCTTTGCGGCTGAGGGCAGTCCAGCTGGCACAGAGTGTGGCTCTGGGGCTGAGTGCTGGTTTGTAGTGGGGGGTAGAGAGGGTGTCAAAATGGCTGAGTCTTCTTGTTGAGCCTTTTGAACAGGAGTGGGATCCGGCAGGGCCAGGTCATCATCCTTAAGGCCTAACCAGTCGGCTCCTCCTCTCCTAGGGTGGATGGGGCTGGAAGCAGGGGGAGGGCTCTGTTTGAAGCTAGGTTCTCCCTTAAGGTCTGAGCCACCTTCTCCCAAGAACCTGCTTCAAAACAGAGAAGAGAGTGTTGGACAGGGGAGGAAGTCCAGCCCATTACCCCATTAGCCCCAATATGAGCTTTACTCTTTGCTGTTGAGGGGGCACATATCTGGCCCATAGCAAACTGGGCTTAGTGGTTCACACTCGTAATCCCAGCACTCAGGAGGCCGTGTCAGGACTGCTGTAAGTGCAAAGCTAGCCTGTGCTACAGAGACTGTGTCAGAACAGTGTGAACAACAGTGAACATCCCATAGCAGCTGGAGATGAGGCTCAACTGGCAGACGCCAGGTCTAGCATATACTAAGCTCATCTGTAGTACCACAGCCGACCAGGATGGAGGCATACACCTGTTGTCCCAGCATCTGCCCAGTGAAGGCAGGAGGATAAAGTCAATGTCATCCTTGATTACACAGGAGTTAGAGGCCAGTCTGTCTCAACAACAAAAAGGGCTAGAGAGACAGCTTGGTTGTCATATAAGCATGAGGACCTGAGCTCCAGGAGATCTGACATCCTCCTATGGCCTCCTGAAGCACCAGGTACATGCATAGTGCACAGACATATAGGCAGACAAAACATTCATAAACACACACACACACACACACACACACACAAAAAAAAAAAAACAACCCCAAATCCTTTTAAAACGAAAACATATACTTGGAGAAAGATTACAAATTCCAGAAAGTTGGTTGCTGGTCTATTTCTGCTGCAAATGAGGAGTGTGTGCTATGAGGACAAAGCCAAAGGCAGGGTTCCTGGAAGGCAAGGAGGAGCCCCACTGCTGACTCAGGGTGGTGGTTGTACTAGTCCTTGGTCTGTGACAAAACAGCCTTTCACGATACTCAAGGCATCAGCAGAAGCAAGCCCACCTCCTCCTTCCCTGCTGAGGAGCTCAGGGCTCAGGGCAGCCAGTCCACTCAACACCCGCACTGTTGGGAGTTCCTAGCTTCCCTCTCCCCTAGGCACCTGCAGACTCATGTCCGTTAGGTGGATGGGGAAGGCTACAGGGACAGGCCTGTGCCTGAGGCTGACCTCCCTGAGTCTTCACTTACCTGACCGACTGTCGGCGAGACTGCCTGCCCTCAGAGGAGGCTACAGTGGGCTGGTAAGCTCCAAAGGTGAGGATCTCATCATCCCAGCTGTCTTCTTTGTCTGTAAATTAAAGGGTATGAACATGATCTAGAACAAGGAAAGCCAAACTTTTTACAGGATCTCGCAAATGCTCTACCACTGGGTGACATCTCCAGACCGAGGGAAGCCAGATGAATGAGTGGAGGCCAATCAAACAGCAGCTATAGAAAGCAGCACAGTGGGGCTGGAGAGATGGCTCAGTGGTTAAGAGCATTGCCTGCTCTTCCAAAGGTCCTGAGTTCAATTCCCAGCAACCACATGGTGGCTCACAACCATCTGTAATGAGGTCTGGTGCCCTCTTCTGGCCTGCAGGCATACACACAGACAGAACATTTGTATACATAATAAATAAATAAATATTTAAAAAAACACTAAAACTCAAAAAAAAAAAAAAGCAGCACAGTGTTAGACCACCTATGGGTAAGCTATCTCATGACACAGCTGTCTCTGTGACAGAGTTCAGAATGTGTGTTCTGTAGGGAAGCTTTTGTTAAGGATGTGGTTTGAGCTGAATACACCTTTAAGCCCAGCACTTGGGTAGAGAATTATTATGAATTTGAAGCTAGTCTCAAAAGAGAGGAAAAAACTGGGTACAGTAACACACACCTTTAATCTCAACACGTGACAAGGCAGAAGCAAGCAGATTCCTGTGAGTTCATGGCCACCCTGGTCTACACAGTGAGTTCCAGGCCAGCCAGGAACTATATAGAGAAACCCTATCTCAAAAAACAAACCAACCCCCCCCCCCAAAATGTGATGTGGGGGAGACAGAGAGAGAACAGCAATCTTGCAGCCAGTACAGACTCCCCCCACCCTCCTCCAGGCGTCCTCACCCTCTGGCTTCTGATACTTCTTGTCTAGCTTGAACTCTTTGTGCTCCCCAGCGCCTGGACGAGCAAGGAGCTTGGCAGCTGTGCCTCGTCCCAGCAGTTCATCCAGCTTCGAGCGAGCAGGAAGGGGCCCTTCCCTGTGGGACAGGTATGGAAGGACCGTGCCATGACATGGGGCTCCCATGTTGCTGCAACCTTTGAGCTTTTCCCTGGCCAGGGACTCCCTACTTCATAAGGATTCTTACTGGTCTCCGGTCTTCTTCCTCTCTGCTTTGGGGCTGTCTTCAAAACCCAGGGTGGTCATGATGTCGTCCCCTTCATCAAACAATAATTCTTTCTTCCGGATAGGAGTATCCCCAGGAGTCAGAGGAACAGAAGGACCTAAGAAAGAAAAGCAGGGCCCAATGCTGGGTGACTGAACAGGGTAAGGGAAGACAACCATCTGCACTTGTCTTGTTTTTTCAGGGACGCTGACTCTAACCCCACCCCAGATTATACATTCACCTCCCTAGTCCTAGAGCCTGCCCTGCCGAGGTCTGGGCTCTGTACTAGAAAGCTGCCATGACTCTGCCCACCCTGGAACCATAAGTAGGCCTCTCCTACCTTGGCTTGCAGCCATGCTGGGGCTCTTGGAAGCAGGCTTACTCTCCATTATGGGTGGCTTCTTGGCAGTTTCTTCCTCCTCATCAGAGAGAAGTCCCGCCAAGGGGTCTTCAAGGTCTCATGGCCAGAAACAAAGACAAAGGTCAGACTGCTGTCTTTTGCTTAGGTAAGCCAAGCCGGAAGCTGAGGGTAAACAGGCTCTTCAGCATCCACAGTGGGGTCTATGGGGCAGGGTAGGCGCAGAGGGGCTTAAGCAAGGCACAGGGAGTTGAGTAAACCCTGGGACTCCTAGAAATGTCCCTAAGGCATGAATCCATTCATAAAGAAAAAGGGACCTTTTCCTTCACTTTGAAGCCTGGCTTCACAGTCTTTGTGAGTAAGTTCCTCAAACATCTTGGCTGCTAGAGCAGTTAGTTCCTAATCATGACACACAGAGACTTGGCCTTCAGCAGCAGCATCCAGGCTGCTCTCAAGCAAAGCAGTCCAGAAAAGGGGACGTGCGGTGGGGGAGACAGGACTCTGATACCTTCAAAGGAAAACTTCTTGTACTGAAGCCCAAAGTTGTTGGAAGGGAGAGGTGGCTTCTTAGTGGCAGTGGTGTTCCCTACAGGAAGAAGAGAGAAGGCAGTCGTAGAACTGAGTCTTTCCTGCCCAAGGTTTTCCCTGTATTGGAGTGCCAGGGACAGCGGGCACTTTGTTCTGACAAACTGAGGTTCTTGGCTGTAAGCACAGTCATAGAGCAATCCATACACCCGCTTCTCACCTGGACCTCTGGGAGGGAGACATGATTGGAAGGTACTCCCACCCCTCACCACCAATCGCTGGCTCGGGGGATTCCCAAGCTGCGCCACACTTCTCCCTTTTGCAGTGTGAGTAAAACCCAGGAAGCCATGCAGGGGCAAGTGCTCTATCACTAGGCCATATCCCAGCCCAGACTTTCCATGTTAGATAAAAATGATCCCCTAGCAGCTGTAAAAGAGCTGTGCTAGATAGTTTTAGTCAACCTGACTCAAGCTAAAGTTATCTGAGAGGAGGGAACTTCAATTAAGAAAATGCTTCCATAAGCCTGTAGAGCAGTGTCCTCAACCATCCTAATCCTGCAACCCTTTATACAGTTCCTCGTGTTGTGCTGACCCCGACCATAACATTATTTCATTGCTACTTCACAACTGTTATCAACTGTAAAGTAAATACGACCTGCAGGATGTCTGATATGTGACTCTTGTGAAAGACTCGTTTGACCATTAAAGGGGTCAGGACCCACAGGTTGAGACCCACTGTCACAGAGCATTTTTTAAATTAGTGATTGATGGGGGAGGATCCAGCCCACAGTGGGTGGTGCCATCTCTGGACTGGTGGTCCTGGGTTCTATAAGAAAGCAGGCTGAGCAAGCCATGAGGAGTGAGCCAGTTAGCAGCATCTCTCTGTGGACTCTGCATTAGCTCCTGCCTCCATGATCCTTCCCTGTTGGAGTTTCTTCCTGACTTCTTTTGAGATGAACAGTGTTGTGGAAGTATGAGCCAAACCCTTCCCTCCCCAAGCTGCTTTGGTCATGGTGAAGCTTCACAGCAATAGTCACCCAGAAACAAGAACGGATCAGACCTTTTCCCCACATAAACACACACAGTTGGCTGCTTGGCCTCTTCATCCTAGGCACATTGGTGGTCTGAATGACAATGGCTCCCAGAAGCTCAAATATCTGAATGCTTAGTAATCAGAGAGTGGAACTGTTTGGAAGGATTACAAAGATTAGGAGGTGATGTGGGATTCCCCTCTGTGTTGTGAATACCACTGGTTAATAAAGAAGCCGCTTTGGGCCTATTGCAGTGCAGAATAGGGCAAGGTGTGAATCTAAGCAGATAGAGGATGAGAAAGTAGGCGGAGTCAGGGAGAAGGAAACAGATGCTGGACGCTGGATGGAACCTTACCGGTAGGCCACAACCACATGGCAATATACAAATTAGAAAAAAAAAAAGTCTGAACCAGACCCAGTCAGTGTTTCTCTTTCTCTGTCTGTGGGTCAGGATGGTAGCTCTTAGCTACTTCGCCAGCACCATGTGGGCCTCCATACTCACTGCCATGATGATAATGGACCAACCCTCTGAAACTGTGAGCCAGGCTCTAATTAAATGTTTTCTTTTTAAGAGTTGCCTTGGCCATAGTGTCTCTTCAAAGCAATAGAGCAGTGACTAAGACAGCACAGAAAACTCACAGGACACAGCGCTAACTTCCGCGTACCTTTCTCATTCGCTGTTAATGTGCCAGCAGGTTTGGGATTGCTAGGCACTTCTTTCCCAGAACCCTTTGCAGGTCCTTTGCCAGAGGGTGGATGAGACTTCATCTGACCAAAGAGATCATCGTCCATGCTATCCAGGTCCTAGGACAGTGGGAGAGAAGCCTGATGTCTGGAAGGGGCTATGGTTCAGATGATACGAAAGTCTTGGCTTGGGGAGGTGGTATTAGGAAGTAGGGGCTTTGTAGGAGCCTCTGAGTCATTGGGGGCAGTGTCTTGAAAAGAACTCCAGAACCACATCCATCGTCTTCCTTTGTTGTGCTTCAAAATGTGGCCATGTGACCAATACAGTTCCCTGATGCCATCTGCCACCCTCATCAGAGGCCAAACCAACTCTTGCTCCCAACCTCATCCCAAAAGAAATGTCCCTGGTGACGGAATGTTTTTCTGTGGCAGCACAGAGCTGACTGGCTTGGAGGGTGGAGGACTACAGGCTTGGAGGGTGGAGGACTACAGGCTTGGAGGGTGGAGGACTACAGGCTTGGAGGGTGGAGGACTACAGGCTTGGAGGGTGGAGGACTACAGGCTTGGAGGGTGGAGGACTACAGGCTTGGAGGGTGGAGGACTACAGGCTTGGAGGGTGGAGGACTACAGGCTTGGGCACCAGGGGAGAGGATGAAAGAAAGAAACTGAGGAAACTGGTGGAAAAGAAAAGAAAATGGAGCCAAAGGCAGGCAGAGTGGGCGGGGTGGGAACTGGTGCATGAGATTGCAGTGAGAGACACAAGTCAACACAGAGAGAGACAAATGGATAGAGAGATGCACACAGGGCTCTACAAGTCTGCAGCCAAGAGCTCTGCCTTGACCCAGGGACCATGACAGAACGAGACACAGTGCTGCTGGCTGTGAAAACAGAACAGAGGTGGCTGACGCCCACTATTCTCTGAAGATTCAGATTTATTTCAGTTTTATCTGATAAGAGGGAAGAGCTTTTGACAGGGAAACTGGGGAAAAACACAGGAAAGGCAAGGAACAGACTTTAGAGAAAACTTTTAACCCTGATCTACTTCCCCAGGTGGTCCCAGCTAGAAAGTCTATGGTTCCTACTAGAGGCCTGTGGCAGACTTCCCAGGCTCCAGATGCCCAGGGCTATACAGAAGTTACAGGACTGGGAAGCCCTGGCTTGACCTGCGGGATCCCACACCTACCCCAGCCTTGAAGGGGGCGAAGCTGTTTGGCTACCTTCACATTCTGCAAGAAGACCTGCGGGTCTGCATCCGAGACGCTGGAGACCTAGGCCACAGGTGAAGACACAGCGAGACTAGTGTCAGTCAGGATCCAGCAGGCCTGGGGGTTCCCAGTCCTAATCATCTTGCTTTTGCTCAGCAGGGGCAGAGAGCTTAACTGATGAGGCATAAACAGGAGGGTCTCTTGCTCCCCAATCTCCAGGGACCAGCTCTCTGAAGTCAAACCTGCCTGTGTGTGGAGCCCCAGAAGGGTTCCCAGTGTCTGTCCTAACTGCAGAAGCTATTTCCACCACAGGCCTTCAGGAGACCACTTCCTCATCATGCACCTAGTCAGCTTGGCTGTCTCATGGGAAGAGGTGATGCCCATTTCTGCAGTTGGGAGCGCTCTGCCATCTAGCTCATTGTTCTGGCAAGGAAGAAATGGATGCTGTTTGGGTTCATTCAGCAGTCCAGGGACATTACTCTACTTTAAGAATCAAGTACAAGGCCGGGCGGTGGTGGTGCCTGCCTTTTATCCCAGCACTCGGGAGGCAGAGGCAGGCGGATCTCTGAGTTTAAAGTCAGCCTGGTCTACAAAAGCTAGTTTCAGGACAGCCAGGGTTGTTACACAGGGAGACTCTTGTCTCAAAAAACAAACAAACAGAATCAGGTACAAGGCTGGGCATGGTGAAACATGCCTTCATTCCTAGCACCTATAGACAGAGGCAGGTGGATTTCTATGAGTTCCAGACTGAGGTCAGCCTGGTCTCCAAGGTGAGTTCCAGGTCAACTAGAGCCACATAGTGAAACCCTGTCTCAAAAAAAATCAAAAAAATATGTGTATGTGGGGTGGGGAGGGGAGTCCAAGTTATATATGAGTTTGTACATCTGTAATCCCTGATCTTGTTGTTTTGGGCTGAGGCAGAAGGCTTGAGTTGCAGGCTAGCTTGGGTTACACAGAGAAAATCTACCTCAAAATAAAACAAAACAAGCCAACTTTGTAGGAACTTCTAAAGCTTTCTGTGAAGAGCTATTAGGCCACTCCAGTCTCACTTTTTGGGGACAAGCACAAAGGTTAAAGACTGGGGAATGGGGGGCTGGAGAGATGGCTCAGTGGTTAAGAGCATTGCCTGCTCTTCCAAAGGTCCTGAGTTCGATTCCCAGCAACCACATGGTGGCTCACAACCATCTGTAATGAGGTCTGGTGCCCTCTTCTGGCCTGCAGACATACACACAGACAGAACATTGTATACATAATAAATTAAAAAAAAAAAAAAAAGACTGGGGAATGGACCAGGCTCACCTCAGCATCAGCTCCCAGTGGCCCTTCAACACTGTCTTTGGGGAGGGATCTGCAAAGAGATGACATCAGCAGCAGCCTATATGACTAAGTCATTAGGTGATTTATAAAAGTTAAGACTTGGGTCTGGGGGTGTAACTCAGTGCTACAGCATGTGTTTAGCATGTTCAAGGCCCTGGGGTCAATCTTAGCATCAGGTAATGGAAGGGAGAGGAAATGAGAGAAGGGGAAGGGAGGGGAGGGAGGCAAGCCAGTCAGGTGTAATGGCATATACCTGCTATCCCGCCACTTGGAGGTAGAGGGAGAAGGATTAGGACTTCAGGTCACCCTCAGGTACGTACTCAATTTTAGGCCAATTTAGAATACACGAAACCTTGTCTCACAGAGTTGTGGGCAGGCTACAGTGTCAGAGTGAACTTGGGAGAGATTTCTCCGGAGGACAGCAATAGAATAGGAATCTCAAGGCTGGAGAGATGGCTCAGCTGTTAAGAGCACTGGCTGCTCTTCCAGAGGTCCTGAGTTCAATTCCCAGCAATCACATGGTGGCTCACAACCATCTATAGTGAGATCTGATGCTCTCTTCTGTGCATGCGGATAGATAACAAATGAATAAATCTTAAAAAAAAATAGGAATCTCACATATGGCTGTGTGTGGTGGTACATGCCTTTAATCCCAGCACTCGGGAGGCAGAAGCAGGTGGATATCTGTGACTTTGAAGCCAGCCTGGTCTACACAGTGAGTTCTAGGACAGCCAAGGCTACATAAAAAAACCCTGTCTCAAAAATACAAAACAAAACAAAATCCACAGACCACACAGTATAGATCTTTTCTACTTAAATTGTTTTTCTATTTTTTAAAGCAGCGAAGTTCTTTAAATATAAATTGTTAATAAATAAATGTGAAGGGAAATATTGGGGCCAAACGAATGGCTTAGTCAGTGAAACACCTGCTCAGTTAGCATCTTAAGCATCCGTGTCCCCAACACCCATGTAAAAAACTGGGCAAGGTCTTGTATGTCTGCAACCCTTGTGCTGGGTAGGGAGAAGAGGGGCATGCAAATAAAAGAATCCCTGGAGCTCCCAGTCAACCAGTCCAGCAAACTGTTGAGTGCCAGACACAATGAGAGAGTTTGTCTCAAAAGATAAGGTGGAGAACCACAGTGGAAAATACCCAAAAGACCAGCTCCGGCCTTCATATGCATACATACACATACACATAAAGTTAGTTATAGTTAAAGCTGGGCACAGTGGTACATGTCTGTAATTCCAGTATTTGGGAGGCCGAGGCAGAAGGATTGCTCCATGTTTGAGACTAGTTCACTATGGGCTACATGGTTAGTACCAAGCCAGTATGATTATATAGCAAGACCCTGTTTTCAAACAAACAAACAAATAAATAAACAAAAAGAAAAAAAGCCAACAAAATCCAAATAATCTTGTCTAAAACAAGAGAAAATCATAATTTTCTTTCTTTGGTCTCCCTCTGCTTTGATTTTTTGAGACAGGGTTTCTCTGTGTTGCTTTGGAGCCTGTCCTGGAACTCACTTTGTAGACCAGGCTGGCCTCAAACTCAGAGAGATTTAGAGATTTGCTTGCCTCTGCCTCCCGGATGCTGGGATTAAAGGCTTGTGCCACCACTGCCCGGTTCTCTCCCTGCTTTTAAAACAGTGTCTCACTATATAGTCCTGGTTGGCCTGGAACTTCCATGTAGACCTGACCTCAAACTCACAGGCATCTACCTGTCTCTACCAGGAATAAAGGTGTGCCCCACCCCACCTAGATGGAAAGAAGGCAAAAGGTGGAGTTCTCATTCTCAGGGGTTGAACAAATCTGAAAGGCAGTGATCTGAGCCATCCTCTTTCTTCAGGGTTACTGAAACTGAAGCTCAGAGAAGCGTGGGATGACCAGTAACACATGGAGGACTAGGAGCCAGGCCTTCAGATTCCATCAATACTCAGGGCTGAGGGGAGAAGTACAATCTCCCAACATTGATGGTGCACTGGCCAAGATGGAGCATAGTGCAGGAAAGGGGCCAACAGGGTCTACCTTGCTTTAGCCTTGGAAGCAGGCCACTGAGGTACACTTGCTGTGTCTCTGGCACGTGAGGCTGGCTCAACAGGCTTCTCAAGCAGTGTTGCTGGAACAAGGAAAACAAGACAGGTCACACCACGCCAATCAGCCTCAAAGTAGTGAAGCCACAACCAAGAGGACCGTGATTCCGCCACTTAGCTGCCTGCTGCACCTTCCACAGAAGGGTTGTTGGCATCACAGGCACATCCTGATCCCTGATAAACATGAGTGGAGTGGGTACATTTCCCAGTAGGAAGTCAATCCCAGATGCCAGGAGTGCCAATGAACAGTTCAACCCACCCACCTGTGCCACAGGAAAAGGCAGAGGCACGATGGGTTTTCCATAATCCTAACGCAGGCTGAAATACATGGTTCTCCCTCAAAACAGAAGTCTTGATCCCCCCTGGTGAGCTCTGCACATCCCCTAAGCCCTGTTCCTCAGTGCAGCGACATGGACACAAATAGTAAGGGGCCATCTGGGCATGACGGCTCATGATTATAATATTGCACAGGGAAGGCTAAGGGAGGGAATTTCCTCAAGTTTGAGGCCAGCCTGGGCTATATAGTGAGACTCCATCTCAAATATAAATAAATAAAAAGCCAGCAAAATGGCTCAGGTGAAGATGCTTCCACAGACTAGAAGGAGCTGTCCTTTGACCTTCACACATGGGCAATTGCACAAGCATGCACCACCCTCCAAATCCAAAAAGCAAAAAAATAAACCTAAGAGATTTTTTTTTTTAAAGGAAGAGTTCTTTTTCTTTAATATTTATTTATTTGTTATGTATACAATAGTCTATCTGTGTGTATGCCTGCAGGCCAGAAGAGGGCCCCAGACCTTATTACAGATGGTTGTGAGCCACCATGTGGTTGCTGGGAATTGAACTCAGGACCTTTGGAAGAGCAGACAATGCTCTTAACCACTGAGCCATCTCTCCAGCCCCAACCTAAGAGATTTTTAAAAGAAAGACTCTATAAGGAACCTGGCTGAGAGAAGCAGCTCAGAAGTGTAGGGCCCTGGGTTCCCCTCCCAGCATCACAAAAAACTTAGAAAAGAACAAAGTGATATGAGAACTCTTACAGCCAAGTGCTTTAACCAAGTGGGCAAAGCTCTGAGCACTTTCTGCAGATGGGAAAGAACTGTCCCAAGCACATGAGCAGACACTCCACAGCACTGGGACATACATCCCAGCTGTTCACAGTATGGCCGTCACCAAAAGGATGGGAGAGCTGGGCTTGGTGGCATAGGCTGTGACCACTGCTACTCTGGAGGCAGAAGGGAAAGTTCAGTGGCTCGCTGGGCACCCAGGGAGTTCAAGGCCAGCCCAAGCATCATGCCGAGACCCCGGCACAAAGTACAAAGTAATAAACTGGCTGGGGAAACTGCTCAGTAGAACAGAGGCTGCCTAGCCCGAAACAAAATCAAATGAAAAACCAAAGTTGGGAAATAAGCATTGGTGGGTCTGGCCAAAGCAGGAGCCTTCGGTGCTGCTGAGGGAAATTCTCTCCTTCCCCCTGTGGGTCCTAGGGTGGAACTCAAGTGGTCAGGCTTACGCCCCCCACTCTTGTCAGTCTGCACTTACTGTCATCTCCCAGGAGGTCACCAAGAACATCATCAATGGAACCTGAAAGCAAGGAGGCAAGAATGACACTTAGAAACCTGAAGCCCTGAGACTTCCGGGTCCCAGGCTTTGGGCTGAGGACGACTGTCGCTGGCCACGAGAAGATCTCTAATGGCAACAAGCCACAGGGCCTTTCTTAAAGCCTGGGGAGAAGTTGAAAGTGACCTTCCCAAAGGTAATTTCTCACCGAAATGTTTCTACCCACCACACCCACCCCAAACACACAAGCCAGTGACCCGTCCTCCAGCCGGCCCCTATGCCAGGGTGGTTCCCCTCAGCCCCTCCCCCACCCACCACCTCCTGGAGCTGGACTGACTGCACTCTCCCTGGCCACTGTCGGATGGAGGCATGGTGGGGACATCTAGGTAAGCACAGTTGAATTAATTCTCCTACCCAGCTGTATTTGCCTTCCCCACCCTGAACGTCCACCGAATTCAGAGCTCAGTGAGAAACTGTGTTTTTCTACGACTACATGTATTTGTTTTTTAAAACTGCTCAACAGTAGAGGCCACCCTATGGTCTTCATGAGCGAAGGCTGCTCTTGCCACCCCTCTGTCTAGGAGGAGAGTGTCAGCAAAGTCTTGGTCCTCCAGTCTTTTTAGTTTTTAATGAGACACCATCTCTCTCTACATAGCTCTGGCTGTCCTGGAACTGTGTAGACCAGGCTGGCGTTGAACTCACAGAGATCCACCTGCCTCTGTCATCTGAGTGCTGGGGTTAAGGTAGTGCACCACCACACCTTGGTTTGTTTTTAAATTAGAGCAGGAACGTGAGTCGCGACATCTGTGGAGGTCAGAAGATAACTTGTAGGACTCAGGTTATTGGGCTCGGCATGAGATCCTTTGCCTGCTGAGCCTCCTCACTAACTTTTTCTTGGTAAAAAAAAAAAAAAAAAAATAGGGTCTCAACCAGGCTGTGGTGGCATAACCCTTAAATCCCAGCACTCAGGCAGAGGCAGGCAGGCGGATCTCTGTGTTTCAGACCAAGCCTTAAACCAAAAAGAAAAAAAAAAAAAAAGGAGAGGTGTATTTGGATTAAGGGGGATGTTCCATGTCTCCACTTACCTTTCAGTCCTTTCTTGGTTTTCAGTGCCTAAAATGGGGGGGGGGGGGGGGGGGGAGAAATCACATCAACAAAATGCAGCAGTGAGCATGTGTTGGCACTGGACAGGAAGAACACTCTGCCTTCTCCAAGCCCCGGGGAAGGAGCACCAGGCATCACGGATAAGTCAGCTGTTTTCCTCCAGCTTCTGAGAATGAAAGCACTCAAGAGGCCAGAGACAATACTTCCTAGCCAGCAAAGCCGGGTGCAGACAAACACCTCTCTTCAGATTATAGACATTACACACAAAACCACCAGACATATGCAGTCAATAACCAGAATGTCTTCTTCTGTTCTGTGTCCAATGAGGGTTTAAAGATGCTTCCAGCAGGAAATGCAGAGGACTCAGAGCTTGAGAGATGGGCTCACCTTCAATCCCAGCACTCAGGCAGGGGTGGGGGTGTGTGCAGAGGCTGGTGGATCTCTGTGAGTTCCAGGCCAGCCTGATCTTTTACATAGCACTTCTAGGACAGTCAGAGCAATAGGGAGGCCTTGCCTCAACAAAACCAAAGAGAAACTACAAAAACAGGCTAAAGGAAAACTCTGCTCACTGATTAATTTCTTTTTGGGAGCGGGGAGGCAGGGCTGGAAAAGGTCTCACTGTGTAGCCCTGACTGGCCTGGAGTTCGCTATGTCAAACAGGCTGGACTAGAATCCACAGAGATCCACCTGCTTCTGCCTTTACCTCCAAGTACTGGGATGAAAGGCTCAACTCAATGCTTAAATTCTTTCTAATGCTACTCTACCATGGAGACCATCTCCTAGAATATTCTACGCAGTCAGAGGTTCGGGGTGCAAAGGTGGGATAGGGTGGGGGTTTATATTTCCACGCCTACCATCTGGGACTTGGGGGCTTTCTGCAGCTCCTTCACAGTAGTGTCCGGTCATGTGCACTCTCGCTGAGCAAGTTCATCCTCCCTAGCAGAGAAAATTAAAGTAGCTGCTTACAAGAGTCGTGGCTGGAGCTGGAGAGAGGGTTCGAGAACTGAGAGCACAAACTGTTCTTGCAGAAGACCTGAGTTGGGTTGCCAGCACCTGTGCTGAGCAGCTCACAACCTCCTGTAACGCCAGCTCCAGGTGGCCCCCATGGGCACCTGCACCCACACATACTTATACACACAATTGTATAATTAAATAGAAAATTTTTTTTTTAAATCTGTAGTTTATCTGGACATGGTGACAATCCTGAAATACCAGAACTTGGGAAAGGGAGGCAGAAAAAAAAAAAATCAGGCACTCAAGGTCTTCCTCAGCTACACAGCAAATTCAAGACCAGCCTGGGCTATGCAAGTCTCAAGAACAAACAAACATACAAAAAACTAAAATAATAAATAAATAAAATACAGCGTTTACCAGTGCTTGACTCCAAGGTTGTTAAGGACCCTCTCACTTTCGAGGAAACCTCGTAAGTGGTGGTGCACACCTTTGATCACAGCACGCGGGGACAGAGGCAGGCGGATCTCTTGTGAGTTCGAAGCCAGCCTAGTCTACAGAGCGAGTTCCAGGACAGCCAGGAATAAGTCTGTGGGTAAAGGTGTTTCTGCCACCTGACTATGCGAGCTGGATCCTCAGGACACATATGATGGAGGAAGAAAATGCCAATTCTCCTTTTACCTCCATGTAAATCTGTGTCCTGCCCCGCAAACAGATAAGTGCAATTAAAAAAAAAATTCCAGATCTGAGTATGGTAATACATACTTAGCTTCAATACCAGAACTTGGGAAGCAGCAGGAAGAGCTATGTAACAAGACTTTTTTTTTCAAGAAAGAAAAAGCTAGGGGGCTGAAGAGAAGCCTCAGCCATTAGGAGCACTTGTTGCTCTTTCAGAGAAGCTGGGTTGGATTCCCATGACCCACGTGGTGGCTCACAACCTGTTACTCCCATGGGGGGCAGGAGGGACAAAGGGATCTGACACCCTCTTGTAACCTTCATGCATGTGGCACACAGACACACATGCAGACAAAACACCCCTACACAGAAAATAAAGATACATTTTTAAAAAAGAAGAAAAGGTTAGGTATAGTGGCTCATACTTGTAATCCCAGCACTTGGGGGGCTGGAGCAGGATTGGTATGAGTTGGGGCCAGCTTTGACCATATAGTGAGTTCTTGGGCTACGGTGAGAGCCTGTCTCAAGAAAGATTGTGTGTGTGTGTGTGTGTGTGTGTGTGTGTGTGTGTGTATGGGGCGGGGAGGAGATTTGGAGACTTCTTGGAAAAAGCAGTCCACATCCTTTACCCTGGGAGAGGATGCTGAAATGGCAAAGAACCACGTGGAAAGGTAACTACAGCCTGGCCCGGTAATCCAAGAAACTCTCCCGACTATTTGTGGGCAGCATCCAGCAGGAAGTGTGAGTGAGCTCTGGGAACGGATTTTTCTAACATCCCCTCCCTTTCTCCCCTGCTCCGCTTCACCTAGACCCACCTTCGCAGGCCTAGGAAGAAAACCGGCTGCGGCGCTCATCTGTCTTCCTGGTGTGCCTAGCTTCTTATTAAAATGCAAAGTGTAACTGGGGTTGTGGACACTGGGGAATGCTTGTGTTTCTCCCGCGCAAAAGCAACTTTAGCGACCAGCAAGTCCAGATGTGTTTTGACTCCTATCACATCAAGGAATTTCTGCTATCTCCTCTGAATCCCGTCGCCGCTTCCCAAAGGTGAGGCATTTTCTAGGAGTGGCTTGGAAGGGCCAGAGGGTCTTCACACCTATTCAACCAACTCCATGAGGACATTTTAAAGGCCGCGAGCCCGCCCCTCAGCCCCAGCGGTTCGGTTTCGGGCCACAGCGTCGCGCCAGGCGAGGCATGGTGCCGCTCAACGTTCCATCCCCCGCGCGCCCATCCCGCGCTTCTCCCAGCCTCCGAGGGCCCTGTTACGATCCGTCCTTTCAGAAACACGGCCACGGAAACCCAGCCCAACGAGCGTCCCGGATTCCGACTCCACTCAGTCCGCCCTTAGCTGCCAGGCCTACCACCACTGCGCGGGCGACGTTCCCACCTCGCCGCCTCTGGCCTCAACTAGAAGGCGGCGTGATGCAGTCTAGGAACTGTAGTCCGTGGCCCGCTCACTTGCGGGCCGAACCACAGGAGGTGCCGGAAAGAACTACATTTCCCAGTGTGCCCCGCGATAGGGCGCTTCTCCGGCCAGGGCGTCTGTTGGATGCTCCTCGAGTTGCTAGGAGCTTTCTCAACCCGCTCCGCTGAAAAGCAGGGAGAGCATATTCCTATCGGGTACAATCCGGCTCTTTCCGCTCTGAAGGCTGATTGAGGACCGTAAAATTCTTAGTCAATGATAAGGTCGAAAGTGCGCTATTAAAAATCCCGAAGCCATCAACAGATACGCGGTGGATGCGCCTCACCCGGAATCATATAGCATTTGGAAAGCCTAGATTGGACCAAGACTGCAAATTTCCTAAGTCAAAATCGGCTGTAGCAAAGATTTGAGACCAGCTGCATAATAGTGTGCTACATAATAGTGTCTCAGAACTACACTTTGCATATTTTCTTGGCTGTACGTATAGATTTTTTTAAAAGGCAGGGTCTCACTGTGAGTAGCACTATCTGTCCTGGAACTCACTATGTAAACCAGAGATCCCCAGGCTTCGGCCTCTCAAGAGGTGGGACTAAAGGCCTGAACTACCATGCCCATCCCATTACAGATTTAAATGTGAGGTTTTATTTAAGCGTTGGGAGGCCAGCAGTGTCCAACCATAATTTGCAAGCTGTGGTCCTGGACAACAACCTCCTATCCACATTTCTACAGGGCTAAGCAGTAATACATACTAAGGGCTATTGTCAGCAATGAAAGATTAAAATCACTTAAACATACAGCAACTTAAAATGAAATGTTTACCAACCAGTAGCAAGCAGTCTTTTAAAAGATATTTTAAATTATTGTCTGTATGTGTGGATTTTTGCATAAGTGCAATGCTCAACAGGGGCCAGAGGTGAACACTGGATTCTTTGGAGCTGGAGTTTCATGGCAGACATGGTGTTGGAGAAGTAGCCTAGTGCTCATTGTTAATAAAAAAAAAAAAGATTGGCTAATAGCCAGGCAAAAGTATAGGTGGGGCAATCAGACTTAAGATGCTGGGGGAGGGGCCTGGAGAGATGGCTCAGCAGTTAAGAGCATTGCCTGCTCTTCCAAAGGTCCTGAGTTCAATTCCCAGCAACCACATAGTGGCTCACAACCATCTGTAAAGAGGTCTGGTGCCCTCTTCTGGCCTGCAGGCATACACATAGAAAGAATATTGTATACATAATAAATATTTTTAAAAAAAAGATGCTGGGGGAAAGAAGGGCGGGGTCAGACATCAACCAGCAGGATGTCTAGAAAATGAGGTAACAAGTCATGAGCCATGTGGCAAAGCATAAGTAGAAATATGGGTTAATTTAAGTGTAAGAGTTAGCTAGTAATAAGCCTGAGCTATCAACCGAGCATATACAATTAATAAAAGCCTCTGTGTGGTAATTTGGAAGCGGCTCCCAGGACAGGAAAACTCTGTCTACAACCTAGTGTCCTACATCTTGACTTGTGGCCAACAGGAAGTGGTCTGTCTCACTGGGTGTAGCTTGAGCATGTATGAGACCTCAAAGCCCACTGTAGATGGAGTTTTTCTATCTAGACCACCTGCTCCCAAATAACTACTCAGAGACTTAATATAAATTATAAATGCTTGGCTAATAGTTCAGGCTTATTACTAACTAGCTCTTACATTTTTTTAAAAATATTTATTTATTTATTATGTATATAATATTCTGTCAGGCCAGAAGAGGGCACCAGACCCCATTACAGATGATCGTGAGCCACCATGTGGTTGCTGGGAATTGAACTCAGGACCTTTGGTAGAGGAGGCAATGCTCTTAACCTCTGAGCCATCTCTCCAGCCCCCTAGCTCTTACATTTTGAGTTAACCCATATTTCTTATTTATGTTCTGCCATGTGGTGGTACCTTTATTAGCATAGCATGTTCATCTCCTACTCCTGGCTGGTAACTCCTCTGACTCTACCCTTCTTCATCCCAGCATTCTCTCTGTCTCAGTCTCTTCCTACCCAACTGTCGGCCAATCAGCTTTTTACTAACAATGAGAACAATACATACAGTATATAAAGATCCACAGCAGCCCACCTCCACAATGACATACTTCCTCCAAGGCCACACCCACTCCAAGGCCACACCTTCTAATAGTGCCACTCCCTGTGGACCAAGTATTCACATGTGAGTCTATGGGGGCCATTACTTTTCGAACAATGTATATTCCTGTGTATGTTTGATGGGGTGGTGTATGCGTGCATCCATGGAGATCAGAAGAAGGTTTATAATTCCTAGAGTTACAGGCAGTTGTGGGAACTCTAGCATGAAAACTGTGGATTAAACTTGGGTCCTCTGGATAGACAGTTAGCTCAGTGGTTAAGTTTGTTTGTTCTTTTTTTTTTTTTTGGTTTTTCAAGACAGGGTTTCTCTGTGGCTTTGGAGCCTGTCCTGGAACTAGCTCTGTAGACCAGGCTGGTCTCTAACTCACAGAGATCTGCCTGCCTCTGCCTCCCGAGTGCTGGGATTAAAGGTGTGAGCCACCACCGCCCAGCCTTTTTCGTTTGTTTGTTTGTTTGTTTTTTCGAGACAGGGTTTCTCTGTGGGGTTTTGGAGCCTGTCCTGGAACTAGCTCTTGTAGACCAGGCTGGTCTCAAACTCACAGAGATCCGCCTGCCTCTGCCTCCCAAGTGCTGGGATTAAAGGCGTGCACCACCACCGCCCCGCAGTGGTTAAGTTTGAAAGACTATAGTTTGAATTCCAACGCGCACATGGAGGTTCACTACCTCCTCAGGCACCAAGGAATATGATGTAGACACACATCTAAGCAAAATACTCATACACATAAAATAATAAAAATAAATCTAAAAAACATAAACTTGGATTCTCTGCAAGATTAGTTTCTACTTTTTTACACAGATGAAGGCGTAAGTCGCAAACAATGCCACACCAGTTTGGAATTATGATTAATAGAGTGATATTTATTTAAAGGGGAAAAAACTTACAGATAACCGTCCCAGACAACAGCCCTCTGCGCAATCAGGAAGGAGTCTACTTGCCGGAAACGGAGCAGGAAGCAAAGAGAGAAAGAAGGGAAGTAGCCGCTTTTTTAAAGGGAGAGAGACCACGCCCCAATGGGCTGGTATCTCAGCGGCTATAGGCTTGAGGAACGGAAGGACCTCCCGCAACACACAGAGACAGGTTTTCTCTGTGTAACAGTTCTGGCTGTCCTGGAACTTGCTTTGTAGACCAGGCTGACCTCAAACTCACAAAGATCCACCTGCCTCTGCCTCCCGAGTGCTGGTATTAAAGGTGTACACCACCACTGCCCAGCAAATCTCATGTGTCTATGTTTAGATCAGACTCACCCCCCACTCTATGCCCCCCAACTCCTCCTATATCCCCTCCCCAAGCCTGTTCCCTCCCAACTTCATGTGCTCATTTATGAAGTCTTCAGTATGTGCAGGGGTACAGTGCCATGCACATGGGTATCCTGGAGCATGGACCGCCCATGGGGGAAGAATTCCTGAATAAAACAGACACTTCCTCCCCCATCAGCCATCAACTTCTAAAAGCTCCTCAGCTAGAGGTGCACATGAGCCTCTCCCCATCCATGTTGAAAGCTTAGCCGGTTTGATAGTGCGAGAACAGTACAGCCACTGTGAGTTCTTGTGTTTGGAAGGCACTGTCTCGCAGCAATCCCGCACTACTTCTACCGCAGTTGACCATGATCCCTGCGGCTTGGCGGGTGTGTGTGTGATATAGATGTCCCCTTTAGGACTGAGCACTGCCATAGTGTCTTACGGGCTGCACATGGATCAGTTGTCTCTGTATTAATGGCCATCTACTGCAAAAAGATGCTTCTAGTGAAGTCAATCCAAATTTATTTATTGATAAATTAATTTTTTGAGACAGGGTTTTTCTGTGTAGCACTAGCTGTCCTGGAACTAGCTCTGTAGACCAGAACTCTGAGATCCTTGTGCTTCTGCCTCTCAAGTACTGGGATTAAAAGTGTGCACCACCACTACCCAACAACCAGAATTTAAATGGTTAAAGCAAAATGAAACCAAACCACACTAGAATCTAGGAATTTGCAACCGTTAAAAAACTTATTCATAAAACGCTAGTTAAAAAAAAAACAAACTAAAAACAGGGTTTGTTGTATTTTTACCATTACAGACCACAGGAATGTTTTTTAAAAATTCAGTAAGCTGGGTTGGAGAGATGACTCAGAGGTTAGGAACACTGGCTGATATCCAGAGGTCTGGATAGAGTTCAATTGGCAGCTACCACAGGGTGGCTCACAACCATCTGTAGTGAGATCTAGTGCCCTCTTCTGTATAAAGGCATACATGCAGACAGAACACTCATGTAAATAAATAAATAAATAAATTTTTAAAAGCTGCAGTAAACTTCCAGGCAGCGGTGGTGCATGCCTTTAATCCCAGCACTCAGGAGCAGAGGCAGGCAGATCTCTGATTCGAGGCTAGCGAGCTACCTATTCTCAAAACCCTTTCTCAAAAAGCAAGGCCAGGCGGTGGTGGCACACTCCCTTAATCCCAGCACGTAAAAGCAGAGGGAGGTGAATCTCTGTGAGTTCAAGGCCAGCCTGGTCTACAGCACAAGTTCCAGAACAGGCTCCAAAACTACACAGGGAAACTCTGTCTTAACAAAACAAAACAAAAAACCAAAGCAGACAAACAAAATCTTCAGTAAGTTGGGGCTGGAGAGATGGCTCGGCAGTTTCAAGAGCACCAACTGCTGCTCTTCCAGAGGACCCGGGTTTGATCCTCAGCACCCACATGGTTCAGTGCATCTAACTCTGCATGTGATACAGACACACACACAGGCAAAACCCTCATATACATAAAATACAAAGTAAAAATTAAGAAAAAAATTAAATGTGGACAGAGAAAAGCAAAATCCTCATATATATTCTTTAAATTTACATTTGCACGTGTGTTCTAGTTGTCCACATACCGCAGCATGTGTGTCTAGATGTGTGGAGGCCAGAGGAAACCTTCCTAGAATCAGTTCTCTCCACAACACTAACAAAAAAATCAACCCACCTGTAGAGAAGCAGGCTGATTCAAGGCTTTTAAGGCCCTGGTGAGAGGACAAAGGATTGCTAGAAGATTGTTAGTTCTGTGTCCTCGCCCAGGGCCCGACTTGGCAAGGACTTGGCTGGGGCTGAGGGCAGGGCCTTGAAGGATTAAGGTTTCAGTTTGTGGGCCCCTGACTTTTCCCTGACTGAGTTATCAGTCAGAAGACTGCTGTGTGCTTGGTCTGTGGTGTGCTCCTGGGCTCCCTTTGTGCAGGACAGCTTGCTGAGCTTCCTGCAGATGTCATCCCACTGTGTGGTTCCTTTCTGCTGACTCTGGTTCATTTTCCTCCTGCAAACTTCCATAAGATGCTGTACATACACACACAGACACAACTTCTATGTGCATTGGTGTTTTGCTTGCATGTATGTCTGTGTGAGGGTGTTGGATTCTGGAGCTACAAGCAGCTGTGAGTTGGGTACTGGGAATTGAACTGGGGTCCTCTGGAAGAGTAGCCAGTACTTTTAACTGCTGAGCCATCTGTCCAGCCTGATACCGGCCTAAGATACAGCTTGGAAAAAACCTCCAAACCCCAAACTTCCCCATCTATATTTTCTGGTCTCTTGGTCCTTCCTCTCAGGAACCTGTTACTGAAGAAGCTGCCGGTCCAGGTCACCAGCCAACTGCAATGACAGTAGGAATTACCACCACCCATAGCTAACTCACTTCCTGGGGAGACAGACTTGAACAGAAAAAGAAGAGCAACCGGGCAGCAAGCGTTTAAACACTGAACTTAGAGAATGTTAGACGATGAATTTGTAAACTTCTAGGTAGCAATTAGAAGCTGTGCCGTGAAGGAAAGCTAGGAAGACTAACACATGGGTTTCAGGGTCAGGAAGTACTGGGTCCCAGCACTGTGGAACCACAGGGAGGCCCTTGGATGGAACACAGCATAAACAAAGCACCTAAGCTGACCTCAAAACCAAAGTGCACTATGACGGCGAGCACTGTCAGCCTGTCAGAGTCTAGAACCCTCTGGAAGACTGGTCTCTGGGCATGTCTGCTGGGGACTGTCAACTGATGTGGGAGACTTAGTGTAATTGTGGGTAGCTCATTCCTGGACAGGGTATTCTGAAGTGGAGAGATCTTTTCTCTTTCTTCCTTTCTTTTTAAAGTTTATTTTTATTCTATGTGTATGGGTGTTTTACCTGCATATACGTATGTATGTGTGGTGTCCTCAGAGGCCAGAAGAGGGCTTTGGATCCCTGAGAACTGAAGTTGCCCATATGGAGGACTAACAAACCTCAGTAACTGAAGTTCCTGGGGATCCATCACTATCTTTTGGCCTCCAGGGGCACTGAACACATGTGTACAGGTACACTTGTAGGCCAAACGCCCTACACATTAAAAACTCTAATGCCAAGTGTCACAGCAGCTCTGGTGGCCTGGACCTCTTTATGTAAACCAGGCTGGACATGAACTCACTTTATAAACAGAACTCAGGTGTTGGGGTTGGAGGTACTTTGTAGACCATCTCTTCAGCCCTGCTAAGATCCCAGGTCTATGTAACAGGATGAGGCGGGCTGGTTCCCACAGCAGCTGCTGTCCACCGTTTATCTATGATTCAGTATTTAAATTCAGAAATAAGTCTACATTTAACAGCCAAGGTTCAGTCATTCAGATGTATTTATTTTCCAGAATATGAACTACTGTCAACAGACCCAAATGAAGCAACAGTGCGCACCTTCAATCTTGAGCAGTGATCAGCTGTGCAGGGGAAAGGCTAAGGCTCGTCAATAATCTAATGCTATCAGCTCCCCTGGGACTGGTCTTATGTCAGCGTCAAGATGCTGCTTCTGCTCCATTTACTATGTTCTCAGTTGTTTTCATGATGCAGATGCCACAGACACAGAGCTAACAGGTTCAAAGGTTTTCTCTACTGTGATTTAAGAATAAAGAGTCCCTGTTAGCCAGGCCTGGTGGCACACACCTATAGTTCCAGCTCTTGGGAGACTGAGAATTGAGTTTAAGGCCAGTCTGGGCCCTGTCTCAAAACAAACCAAACCAAACAGAAATTACCATACAAAAATGCACCCCACACAAAAGGTGCATTCCATCTTCGAGCACAATGATTGTAGAGATTGCACTGCAGCTGAAGGGAGCAGCTGAGCACGCAGTATGGCTGCTAGTGGCTTACCACAAAGCCAGGTACTCAACAGCAAGAAACTAGCTGTGGCCTCTGCTCATCCTTCAGACCGCATCAGCGATTACATTTTCTGAACTAGAACCCACAGCACATGGCTGTGGCAAAGGGTCTCCTGTTATTTCTGGGTGTAAAAGGTGATCTGAGTGATTTACTTTTATATGTCAAATACTTGACCACCAAGCATTTTAATGGTTTATATGACAAGATGACAAAATCTTTCAAATTTGCATAGTCCTAGGAAATTCATTTAATAAAGTCACCAAAATACAGACGTGCCACAGCCCCCAGGGCTCTCCTGATACTCAATTGGAATAGCTATTGCCTTTAGTATGTCTTTCAGGAGAAGGCAAGCAAGAAAGGGAAGACAGTCAGCCACCATGATTAACATCCAGGCAATGGTCAAATAAGTAAAGATATGCTTAATTATGTCAGAAAGCGGGGACCAAAGGCGAGACAGTGCAATCAGGAAAGCTGGAGCCCAGAACGGATAGTCACTCCCAGTGCGCGCTATGGCCCCTATGGCTGGGTGTGTTAATGCTGAAGTCTACAGGAGCGACAGTCACACAGCAGGCAGATGTGCCCCACACCCCCACGTCAGGGCTTCTATTCGTTTCTCGCTCCCAACCCTTCTTAGTGTAGATCATTTAGGCTGGAAAGCCTGTAAAGTTCCACCTTATAAAACACCTTTGATTTAAAAAACATAGATCCAGTGAATAGCAGTAAAAATGTGAAAATAACTAAGAATTTAGTAGTTAAATTCTGTTAATCACCCAAGGTCATGGCCTACTGGGATTAGCAGCAGCACAGCCGTGAAGACTTTGAGCACCTAGGAGTCTCTGTTACCACACTGAAAACAGAGAATTTCTCATTTCTGCGCTGCGGTCTGCTCATTTCTCTTTACTTTAGGAAAAAGGCCAAGCCATCATTTCTTTATAGCTGTACAAATTTGATGAGGGTTTCACAGGGATTAGTGAATCAAGGACGAGATTTCACGCTGCTTTCAGGAGCAAATCAGACTTGTCCCGGGGAAAGCTCAGAGCTTGGACTGCAGGGGCTTCAAGTGCTTGTAGTAAGATTCGTGAACCTGCAGAGAAGCAGACGAAGCCAGTTAGAACTTCCCGTGTACATCAGCATTTCTCTTTATAACAAACAAAAACTTTTAACTGAGAAACTATGTGGACCTTATACAGGCACAAATTCAAATATTTTTGTTTGTTTTGTTCTTAAGCCGAGGCTCATTATATAGCCCTGGTTGGTCTCAAATTCAGAGAGATCTGTTTGCATCTGCCTCCCCAGTGCTGGGATTAAAGGTGTGCTTCACCATGCTTGACCTTTATTTAAAAAAAAATGTGGGCTCTGTGACCGACATTGTACAGAATTAAACGAGAACTTCAGAAGTTGGAAAGATGCTGTCTTGTTTGTTGTACCTCTGTTTTGTTCAGTGGGGACTTCTTGGCCCACTCAAACAAGTTCTCATACACGTTCCCGTCATAGCGGCCAAGAACAGAGCCGAGGGTCATATCCTTGAAGTCAAAGGCATCCACCAGAGCAACAGCATTGGGGCGGATTAGGGTGAGCAACTCCAGTATCCGATTGTTAACTTGTGACATCTGAGCCCCTGTGATGATGTTCCCCTAAGGAAAAGAGTAAAACGAACGAATAAAATTGTGTACAGATTAGATACTTACACACGCAGAACTGTAAACAGACATTTACACACAGAACTGTAAACGGACATTTACACACGCAGAACTGTAAACAGACATTTACACGCAGAACTGTAAACAGACATTTACACGCAGAACTGTAAACGGACATTTACAAGCAGAACTGTAAACGGACATTTACACGCAGAACTGTAAATAGACATTTACACACGCAGAACTGTAAAAAGACATTTACACACGCAGAACTGTAAAAAGACATTTACACACAGAACTGTAAATAAACATCTACACACAGAGAGAACTGTAAAACAACTGTTTGAGTCAAATAAACAACTACAAAAAGGCTTCTGCTTCGAAAACACCAACCTCAAGAAAATCTCCTCCTTTCTGGCTGATGCCATAGAGAGAATACAAGAAACACAGGTTCCTCAGGACAGCCTGGACAGCTTTGTCTTGGATCTTGGGGAGTTTATCTGAAAACAGCTTAACCGCCACATAGTGGCAGTGTGCCTAGAGGAAAGCAAACAAGGAGAGTGGGAATCCTTGGGAGGTGGATGTGGTGGCTTCTGTGTCTAATTCCAACATTTGGGAGGCTGAAGCAGGAGGACTGCCATGACTTCGTGGTCAGTTTTAGCTACTTGGTGAGTTCCAGATCAGCCTAGGTTAGTGAAAGCCTATCTGAAGAAGACGGCTACCACCGTGAGCAGGGCACTAAGGAAGGGGCAAGCAGAGAACCGAGCACAGCGCCCCAGGCATGGGGAAGGTGCAGCAGAGCACAGCGCTCCCAGCATTAGGAAGGGGCCGCGGAGCACAGTGAGGAGAGCCGCCACTGACCTCACTCGCCCGGACAAGGTCAACGGAAGTTAGGTTCCACGCTACTTCCTTGCTCTTCCTGTGACTCACGTGAGTCTTAAGTTTTTTTGCAGCAATTTCTATCAATCTGTTGAGCAAGAAGGAAGAGTAGAGAGCTGAGGAAGCCATCACGGCTTTCACGCCTCTGCTTGGCTCCAGCTGGAAGGCCCTATAGCCGGCCGCTGACCTGAGTGAGGGGAGCTCACCTGGCTGCACGAAGCTTGTAGGCTTCAGTCAGGTTGTCCAGGCTGTTGATGTCCACCACAGCTGGCCAGACTGCCACCTGCTGTGGCTGGATGCGCTGACTGGGCAGGTCATTCAAGTAGGACACCAGGCCACCCACCAACTTCCCCGCGTGCACCTGGTCATACATTTTCATCAAGAACCTGGAAATCACCAAAACACATGCTTTAGTGACGCTATTCAGGTGACTTCACACAGTCTGAGCATGTGCTGACTGAATTTAGATCAACTTGAAACAGGCTAGAGTCATCTGAGGAGGGAACCTCAGAAAATACCTACATAAAACGGGGCTGTAGCCTGTGGAGCAGCTATTTCCAGCCTCCTGGTGACCACCCCACCAGAAAGCAGGTATTTCCATGATGACTTACAACAATAGCAGCAAGTTAGTTATGAAGTAGTGATGAGAATAATGTTGTGGCGGGGTCACCACAGCATGAGGAACTGTATTAAAGGGTCACAGTGTCAGGAGGGCTGAGAACACCGCAGAGCACTGTCTTAATTAGTGCTTTGGGGGAGGGTCCAGCCCACTCCATGTGTATAGTCCCTGGGCTAGTAGTCCTAGATTTCTATAAGAAAGCAGGCGGAGAGCTGGGTGTGGTGGCACACGCCTTTAATCCCAGCACTCTTGAGGTAGAGGCAGGTGATCTCTGAGTTTGAGGCCAGCCTGGTCTACAGAGGGAGTTCCAGGACAGCCAGGGCTACGCAGACAAACCCTGCCTGGAGAAACAACAACAACAGCAACAAACAAACAAAAAAAGGACTGAGCAAGCCATGAGGAGCACGCCATGAGGAGCACGCCATGAGGAGCACACCACGAGGAGCACACGAGGAGCACACCATGAGGAGCACGCCATGAGGAGCACGCCATGAGGAGCACGTCAGTAAGCAGCACCTCTCTGTGACTTCTGCATCAGTGCTGACTCTAGGATCCCACCCTGTTTGAGTTCCTGTCCTGATGTCTTTCAATGATGAACAGCAACATGAAAGTGTAAATCAAATAAACCCTTTCCTCTCCAAGTTGCTCTGGTCATGGTGTTTCACCTAGGACAGAAGCTGGCACTGGGTGTTGCTCCAACAGACCTGACCATGTTGTTTGGGGGAGGACTGTGGAAGGACTTATGGGGAGCTCAGTGGGCTGTTCTGTAGGAGCCTGGAAGACAATGCTGAGAGCGGCACAGACGATGGGGGCTAGCCTGTGAAGTTTCCGAGGGAAGCAGAGACTCTACCAGGCCTTTTGTGTGTCTGGTCAGCTGGGGCTGAAGAACCAGCTGTGATTAACAGGGGACCAGAATCACTACAGTAAAACCTCTGCTCTGCTAGGATGTGATTGAGAGGAGATCAGCATCACTGAGGTCAAGGCTTCGGAAGCACTTCCTCGGGGGTCAGCACACAGATGTGGTCCAGAGGCAGCAAAGGTCATAGCTCATACTGGCAGCTGAGCTTAATTATGTGAGAGTCACCAGGTGGTGCTGATTGTGAAGGGAGGGCACTGTGAGGGCGGAGTCCCTGAGAGGCTAATGGTAAAGGTGCAGTTCCGCTGCAGTTCGGAGCTGCCAGTGCCGTGGGAGGACCAGCAGCAGCAGCAGCAGCAGCAGAGTGGAGCCAGCTGGAGCCCAGAAGACAAGCTGTGCGTGCTGTGGAGGGCGGCAGAGCCGAAGTGACCCAAGCTCCTTGGAGGAGCGCAGATCGTGAGGGATCCCAGACAGTGACATAAAATTATTTATCTGCTGGGAGTTTGGTTTTGCTTTGTTCAGATTGTGATTGTGCCCTGGTTCTTCCCTCTTCGAGTAAGGAAGTATTTAGCTGGGCTGGAGAGACGGCTCAGAGGTTAAGAGCACTGGCTGCTCTTCCAGAAGTCCTGAGTTCAATTCCCAGCAACCACATGGTGGCTCACAACCATCTGTAATGAGATATGGCGCCCTCCTCCGGCGAGCGGGCATATATCGAGGCAGAATGTTGTATACATAATAAATAAATAAATAAATCTTAAAAAAAAAGTATTTAGCTTATTTTTTATTTTATAGGCATCCACAGTTGAAAGTCTTTGAATTTTTAAAAGAGATTTTGGATTTTACAGAGACTGAACTTTGAAAGTGTTTGAAATGGTGGGACTTTCAAGTTGTGATATGGTTTTATTTGTGGTATTTATTAATCTGAGATCTTGGGGAAGAACCAAAAGAAGGAAAGGTTATGTCTTAAAAACCCTTCCTCCCCAGGTTGTGTCGGCCATGGAGTTTCATCCCAGCAGTAGGGACCCTAACTAGGGCAGACAACAAATAAGAAGTGAGTCGTGCCGGAAGCGAAATGTCCCTGCCTGCCACAGTGGGTCTGTGGAGACTGCTCCTCACCTGGCTGTCTGCAGCATCATGACAGTGTTCTCCCCCTCGAAGGTGCAGGCCGGGGTAAAAGTGACGTAAATATTTGGGATTCCGCTGCTGTGAGAATAGCCGTGCCCACCACAAGCCATCCGACATTCTTCAATACCAGCATTGGCCGTCCAGGTAGTAAAAGCCTTAAGCCCAGCGGTGAGGGCGTGAAGCTAGGGGACAAGTACAGGTCATGAGAACCTTGGCTTAGAACCCACCTTCTAATAGGAAGACACATCCTCCTGGAAGTACGCTGCTCACTGTCAGAACCAAGGCCTGCATGGCTACTGAGGAGGGGCAGCTACCTGCGATCTGAATTATTGATGCTCTCACACTTTTCTGAATGGCTGGACTTGGCCAAACATTCACCCCTTCCTTTAAATGCTGTCAATAAACATTCTAGCTTCAGATCTGGTCTGCTTTTAATTTTGAAAAGTTCCAAGGTTATGTAATTCCTTTCAGGAAATTCCAACATACAGTTTCTATTGGATGTCTGCCGACAGGCAAACATGTAACCTAAGGGTATCTACGGAAACCCATGGGTGGGTATCAACAGGCGAATGAGAAAAGTGTGTCCATACCTCGGGCAGCTCACTCAGGTCCCCTTGGCCAATGCTCTCATTAATTCGAAGGTAGGTCTCCTTTATGTACCGTCCTACAAAGTGGAAGGCGTAGGCAGTGGCCAGCAGTGGGAAGAGTTTATACTGCTGGGTTTGAAAATCCAAAATCTGAGGTTCTGGTTCACTAAATAACAGGGAAAAAAAATTAGTAAATATTTACTTGCGTTATCCCAGGTTTCAGTCCGAGTACCCTGACGTAGCAACTGAATTCATCCTCACGTGGTCCTTCCTGGATGATGGCAACTGTCACTACTGTCATCTTACTGATGGGGAAACAGAGATGAGGAAGTCTGTCTGAGGTCACACTGCTCAAAAGCGCAATTCTTTGGCTCTATAAGGTCACATTTTCTTTTTCCCCCCTGGTTGTTTGAGATAGAGTCTCTGCATATAGCTCTGGCTGTCCTGGAACTCACTCTGTTGATCAGGCTGGCCTTGAACTCACATAGATCACCTTCCTCTGCCTTCCGAGTACTGGGATTAGAGGTGTGCACCAAGGCGCCCAGCAATACTCTTCCCCTCTCTGCGGCACTGCTGTGGAGTCTCCTCACTGCCTTAGTGTTTCCGAGAGGCAACTACATCTCATAGCTACACAGAAACCCACACTGGTCAGCTCACAGGAAGAGGACGCCACAAAAGGCCAGCCCACCACAAGGCTCAACATACTGTATTCTGACCACAAGCCTGGAGATGACACAGTATATAAGTTAAACATTTTAAGAGTTAAGAATTGACAAAGGTCCTGGGGTTGAATATGATCAAGATAACCTTGTGTATGTGTATCAAACTGTCAAATAACAATAAACTTTTTTTTTTTTCCTGGGTAGTGCCGCAGAAACAATAAACTTTTTTTAAATTAACAGTTTTATAGGTTTTTTGTTTGTTTTTAATTTTTAAAGAGAGAAGCAGGTGCCTGCCTGCCCTCAATGCATGCTGGGTAGGGGCTAGGCCCTTGGGAGGCCTAGTACATGTGAGCCCTGGCTTAACACCGAGCACCATAACTGGTCCAGGGTGTAAAGGCAGAGGAAGAGGTTATTCTGATCCATCCTCTTAAGCACAGGGTCAAAGCAAGCCATCAAAAGAGCCCATCTCGGCCTGGAGAGATGGCTTAGTGGTTAAGAGCATTGCCTGCTCTTCCAAAGGTCCTGAGTTCAATTCCCAGCAACCACATGGTGGCTCATAGCCATCTGTAATAAGGTCTGGTGCCCTCTTCTGGCCTGTAGGGATACACACAGATAGAATATTGTATACATAACAAATAAATATTAAAAAAAAAACAAAAGAGAGAGCCCATTTCGGGCCCCACCCTCACCCTGGCTTGATTTCAGACTGGTGCCTCACAGCGCTGTATCGGATGGCAATGGTGCACGCCTTGGACAGACACCGAGCTGCATCTCCCACGAGGAAGGACCGCACGAACACCATGGTTCCATACGTCAGCTTGTTACTCAAGGGTTTCACATATGTGCCGTCAGGCTTCACCTGGGAAAACAAAACAGGTCTGAGCATCTTTCTGTGAGGAAGAGACCATGAACCGATTTTCCAAGTGTGTCCTGGAACAGCAGGGGACCTGGCTTCAGCAGGACCTGGCAACTGGGCTGAAATACTAAATTTTGCTCCCTACTCGGACCTTTTGAACCAGAGATTTTGGGAGCAAGGGCTTGATTGTAAGATATGGGCTTGGGGAAGCCGGGCGGTGGTGGTGCACACCCAGCACTTGGGAGGCAGAGGCAGGTGGATCTCTGTGAGTTCGAGGCCAGCCTGGTCTACAAGAGCTAGTTCCAGGACAGGCTCCAAAACCATAGAGAAACCCTATCTCGAAAAACCAAAAAAAAAAAGAGATATGGGCTTGGGGGCTGGAGAGATGGTTCAGAGGTTAAGAGCACTGGCTACTCTTCCAGAGGTCCTGAGTTCAATTCCCATCAACCACATGGTGGCTCACAACCATCTGTAATGAGATTTGGTGCCTTCTTCTGGTGTGTAGGCAAACACTGTATACATAATAAATAAATCTTAAACAAAAAAACCAGCATGGGCTTACCCAGGCCATAGTGGGGCACTCCTCTAATCCCAACACTCAGGAAGAATAGGCAGGTGATCAGGTGATCTGTGTGAGTTCAAGGCCAGCCTGGTCTACAGAGCAAGTTTCAGGACAGCCAAGACTATACAGAGAAACTCTTCTTGAAATAAAACATAACAAAAAAAACATGGGCTTGCCGTGCAGTTCAACCTGACCTTGACCTCAGTTCCTCTGTCTCACACGTGCACTTCATTCTTGGCTCACAATCTGAGTTCTACCGGCCTTCCAGGTGATTCTAAGCTGCTTAAGGGCTTGAGGCCCACAGACTCACTAACGAGTTGGTACTTTTCACACCATCCTCAACACTCCTAAGTCACTGTCAGAATAAAAGGAGTTCAGAAGGAAAAGCATGTCACTTCTGCAACCAACATTTAGAGGCTGAGGCAGGAGGATTGCTGTGAACCTTAGCCTAGCTAGTCTGGGATACATAGAGAAAACCTGACAATAACAAACCAAAACCAAATAAAATAAATAAATATACCTGGGCATATTTCATCAGCATGTTCTCTCTAGGAATGCGGTAATTGTCCATCTTCAGGTAGCCGTTATCCATCTCTTCATAACCAAATTTGGGGCCAATATCCCCAACAGTAATACCTACCACAGACAACAGGAAACACGTGAGATATTTATGCTTTTGGATTCCTTGCCTCCCTATGTTCCAGTCAATTGTGCCTTACACTTTTTGCAGTTTATTTTATTTTATGTGTGTGGGTATTTTCTATGCATGTCTGTCCATGCACCCTTGCATGCCTGGTGCCTCAGGAGGCCAGAAGAGGATGCTGGATCCCCTGCAACTGGAATTAGAGCTGGTTGTGGGCCACCATAAAAGTGCCAGAACTGAACCCTGGTCTTTTGGAAGATCAGCCAGTGTTCACAACTGCTAAGTCATCTCTTCAGCTTTGTGTCATTTTTTTTTTTTTTTTTTTTTTTTGGTTTTTCGAGACAGGGTTTCTCTGTGGCTTTGGAGCCTGTCCTGGAACTAGCTCTGTAGACCAGGCTGGTCTCGAACTCACAGAGATCCGCCTGCCTCTGCCTCCCGAGTGCTGGGATTAAAGGCGTGCGCCACCATCGCCCGGCTGGCTTTGTGTCATTTTAATGTTTACCTTGTTATCAGATGAACAATCCTCACCTGGCAAGGGCTTGTGAGTCCCGATTTCACGGATAGGGACAACAAAGGCATGTAGTCCATAGCGCTCCCCTTGAGTGATGAGCTGAGCAAGAACGATGGCATGATTGGAAGTCTTCCCAACTGCAGCATCAACAACAAGAAGTCAGTGTGCTGCTCCTGCTTTTCAATTTTCCTGTCTCATGAACTCCGCTATGTGCTAGATGCTGGGATCACATGTGTGCACCAGCACGCTTGGGTTCGCTCTTGTATTTCCACTGATTACACTGCTCTGGGGAGGCAGCTCATGCAGACAGTACGCTGTGCATGCGGAGGTCAGAGGAAAACTTGTGGGAACTGTTCTCTCCTTCCACCATACGGGTTCCAGGGATTGAACTCAAGTCACTGGGTCGGCACGAGTGCCCTTCCCTGCTGAGCCCTCACTGCCTGTTCCTGCATTTCTACACGGTGGGCACAGGAAAGTGTGTAAAAGTGAGTCCTTTCCCATGCCAACCTCACAGAGCTTCTGGACAAAGCTTAGAGTTTTGTTCTTTTTTTTATTTCAGCAGATAAATCCCACATTAAAAAAAGGTTTTCAGTTATTTTAACATTTACTATTTGTGTGTGCATCAGCATGAAGGAGGCAGGCACACACATGTGACACAGTGCATGTGGCAGTCGGAGCACAACTTGAAGGATGTCAGTTCTTTCTTTCCACTGTACGATTTATGGGGCTCAAATGCAGGTTTGCAGGCTTGTACTAAGCGTGCCTTTACCTGCTGAGCCAGCTCTCTGGTGCAATACAGGCTTTCGGTTCTGGGAGTTGCCCCAGCTCTTTAGCTCTTCGACTCCTGGGACACCTTCGTTCTCTTTAATAAACTGCCTCATTTCTATCACACAACACTCTAGTCAGGTGTGGAATTCCAATACTTCAGAAGCAGATTTCTCTGAGTTCTGGGCTAGCCAGGGCTACAGAGAGAAACCCTGGCTCAAAGAACTTAAAAAAAAAAAAAGGCAGAGGCTATTCTGAAATACTTAGAGTATCTGAGACCAGCCTTGCCCCCCCAAACAAAAACAAACAAAGACAGAATGTAAATAACAAAATCTACCAACTACTGTTACACCTGAAATACACATCCCAAGGCCAGAACTCAGAGTGAAAGAGACACTAAATATAAATTTTATACAAAAGCTATTTACAATAAAAATCTGAAAGTAACTCAAATTTTTGACAGAAATAACAAATAGGGAAGCTATGCTGGACAGTGGTGGCACACACTTTTAACCCCAGCACTCAGGAGGTAGAGGCAGGAGAATCTCTGTGAGTTCAAAGCCAGGCCCGGTCTACAAAGTGACTTCCAGGATAGCCAAGGCTATTACACAGAAAAACCTGTCTCAAAAAGCCAAAAAAAAAAAAAAAAAAAAAAAAAAAAAAAAAGGAAAACTTTATTTTATTTTTGGGACAGGTTCTCACTGTGTAGGTCTGACCGGCCTGGAACTTACTCTATAGAACAGATGGGCTCTGGACTCATGGAGATCCGCCTGTCTCTGCCTCCTGAGATTAAAGGGGTTACTACCATACCTGGCCAGGAATTTTATTTTAATGATGAGTATGGGAGCTATGATACACAGGGCTATTTAGAGGGAAAATTAAGCCATAAAACAGTCATTACTGTTGTGCTTTCGCCATATACAAACAGACTCAACAAGGACCACAAGAGAATGTAAAACATCTCATAATAATTTAAGATCTTAACTATTTTTTTACTTCACAATTATATTCTAAAATCTACATTCTAAATACAATCTCATAATAAGTCCTCAAGATGTTCAACAACAACAAAACATCCAACAACTGTTAAAAAAAAAAAATTAACTTACGCCCCCCAGGCCACCACTTAATAGAAGTCACAGTAGGGCTGTTGAGAATAAACTCTTGGGTTTTGGGGTCGTATGTGGCAGTGGTCTCCAGGCCTCGAAGATGAGTTCCTAAGGAAAGAGAGCACACGACCTCAGATACAGCAGACGGGAGAGACCAACAAAGCCAGACAGAGTCAAGATTCCCTGGCAAACTGAAAGGTCCAGGCCTCTGAGAAAGCCCAGGCCAGCAACATGCCTGTGACAAGCTGCGAGTGATATGGGCACAGCGCAAGGCTAATCCTCCACTGAGCTGCACACACGAGTGCGGGGAACATTCCACTTCCCAGTGCGGTTCAGCGGGTGTGTCATATTTATCGAGACTAATAGAAAAAAAAATGTAAGGGTAGCTAATGTTCTATGTAACAGAGATGTCCACTCTCCTTTAAACCTAGTTCTTTTACATTTTTAAAAAGTTACCTTTACTCTGCGCACTGTGCTGTGTGTTGGTGTTGGTCACATGAGCCACAGCACACGATCTGTGGAAGTCAGTTTTCTTCTACTCAGTGGGTCCTAGGGATTGAACTTGGGTCACCAGGCTTGGCAGCACATACCTTTACCACTGAACCGCACTGCCAGCCTGGGCCCCATTTCTAAGTTTCAACTCTAGTGAACTATTTACCGCTGTACTTCTGAGGACGGTAAGGTAACGTGTGACAGAAGCAGACCTTGGCTAGAACTTCTGTACATTCCGAACTTATTGTAAATACTAAAATGGAAGCTAGAACTTGAAAACATTTCTTCATTATGAAAAATGACTTCCTATAACTCTCCTACAGGTCCAACAATGCCTGGGTTCGCTCTGTGGATCTCTAGGGCCAAGCTCCACCCAGTGCTCACTGCTCAGGAGAGCAAGGAAGCGTGTGCTCCGGTCTCACGTGCTGCTGGAGACGCTGGACACTTCCCTCTGAACTCCAGCTGTACACATCCCAATTCTCTGAAAAGCGTTATAGGGAAATGTAAGAGAACTACACTGAAACAAACGCTGAAGACTTCTCTCTAACAAACTACTTTGAGGCTTCACTGAACACTTCACTTTGACATATCTAGAAACTTCACACTGAGCAACAGAAATGGACTGTTTGTGAGCAACAGCCTTCAAAGCTCAAGTCAAGAAACCAGGCACGGAGTAATCTCCTTTGCCAAAGGAACCTGGTGACACATCAGACAGGGCAGTGAGGACAACATGTTCTCTCACGACAGCTGAACTCTGCTGGACCCTACCTGGTGTCTTGGGAGGAGCCTATCAAACACTGCTCACAGTAAGAGATGGCTGTATGGAGTACACACTTTTTCTGAGCCTCCGAACGGGGGCAATCTAAGATGCCAACTCAGAACATGAGAGAAACTACTACCTCCAGCCCCACCTGGTTTAGAAAGACAGGCAAGGAGGCAAGTGTGTGCAAACAGAGTTTGACGTCACTGGCCTGGAAAGATGGCTTAACTTTCCTAACCTCTGGTCAAACCATCCTCAGCACTTCAAGGTACAAGTAACTTGAAGGCATACATGCTGCATGTTCTGACTACAGAAAGCTGCACATCCCCTACAGGAAGTCAAAGGGTACTCATACGTTAACGTTTATGGGTTCAGAGTCTACACATTCAGATTCTACAGACTGTGTGGAAAGTAGGCCTAACTGGTCATTCCTGATCTTCTGAAGGACAGTCAGGAAGAATCAGCAACCACAGTGATAAAATAACTTCATTTCCACTGCCAGACCCTATCCTGAAGCCGGACTCAGCAAAGGCTCACAGAAACAGCCAACAGCATCCTGCCGAGCCGTCAATAGCTCATGGCAGGTGCACTATACAGGTCCAGTTGGCAGGGCCCACCCACCCAGAAGGTAGACTAAACACACTGTACCATGACCCATCTCTGTCTGGGCATAAGTGCCCGTGATCTCCAAATTCCAGGCTGGCATGAAGAAACGCTCTTGCTGCTCTGCGGTGGCCTGGTGAAGCAAGGTGGGCAGGAACATGCCCAAGTGAAGGTCCAAAGGCTCAGGTCGCCCTCGGTGTACAAAGCTTCGAAGAAATACCAAGGATGGACAATTGAGGGAAGCATCAGCAGGGTGTGGATCAGTGATGTGAACAGACAGAGCAGGGAGGGAGAAAAAACTGTGAGTACGAATCAACCACGTGCACGTCATCAAGGAGGGGAGCACTGCCCTTTTCTGTACTCTCTGTGACTCTCAACAGTGTTTGTTCATCCTGAAGCGGGCAGGGTGTGCAGCAGGACGGCTATGGAGACCCAGGCCCGTGTAGCACAAACAATGTGCAAAGGCAGGACTTCAGGCTCGCAATTAAATGAAAGGAAATGAGAATTTTGGGGAGAATTAAAGGGGGACAAGGAGTCCCTGGGTGGGGCAGAAATAGGAAAATAGGGCAGTTCTCTTGGGGCTAAAATGAATCCAGGCTAAGTTCTCCTGGATGCAGTTTTAGTGAAGTGTCTAGACTGGGATCCTTTCTGTCTGTTCAGAAAGCATCTAGGACAGACCCAGTCTTTATGTGACTTCTCATTATGCCGTGTGGATCTCTGGGTGCAAACGAACACAGAAACTGACAGTGCTCTCCCTCCCAACAATTCCAGCAATTAAAGACAAATGATCCCTAGTCGGGACCATTATAATTGCAAATCACACGTTTGTGCATAACAGGGCCTGTGCTCCACGACGATGTTATTTAATCATCTTAGAGATGAGCCTTCCAACCTCTAGGCTTGTTCCAATTTGTTCCCTCTAAGCTGGGGAGGGCAAGGCTGATGTGCTCACCAGGAGCTCACCAGAACCTCTCCAAGGCTAACCATCCAAAAGACACAGAGAAATTCCCACTTTATAAACAAACAAAGATGGATGGCCAAGTGCCACATCTGCATCAAATGATGGTGGCGAGCTTAACGTTCAAGTGTGACATGTGCTGAGAACGTCTAAAACCCAGAGCTGCCCTTAGAATCATCAAAAGAATCATCAAAACAGAAATCCTAAAAGATTGGCCACTGGTGGAGGAGATGAAAGGGCAGTGGGGACTCTTGGTGCTACGTTTGCAACTCCCTATGAATTTGTAATCATTTTGAAATTAGAAAAAATATTGACATTGATTCATGGAGCGAGCTGTGATGGTGCACATCTGTAATTCAAGCACATAGAAGGTTAAGGCAGGATTCAAGTTCAAGGACAGTTTAAGCCACACAAGGAGAAAGCCAAACCACATTAACCAAATCAAACCAAACTGCACTGGTAAGATGCCTTTCTTATTCATGAAATCTTCCAGCTTTTAAAAAGCCAGCACTGGGAGTGGGGTATAGCTCAGTGGTAAACAGCTTGCTCTGGGTTTGTTCTATCACAGACAAAAACCAAACCATTCTTAATCCCACATACCTAAACCTAGAACTCATACAGGAGGCCCTGGATTTAAATGAGGGGGTAGCTCCAAGCTGCGGGAGTTCATGCTTAGTATACTTAGACCCTGGTTTAATCCCTGGTGCTCTCTTCCCCAAAAAACTAGTATCCAGTGAGAAAAAGAAACACATGCCAGGCCCTAGGCAGTAACTTGCACCTCGGGCTGGCAGCAGCCCACTTTCTGCTTTCAGGAGAGCTGCTCTGTGGTAAGACTGCTGGTGAAGGAGCAGCCTGGAAGCGGCCCCTCCAGACCTAGGGAAGGTTTGTGTCTGTGTGATGTGCTACAGTAAGGATGTAAGTGTTATCAAACACGCTGAGGACGGCAGGGCAACCGCTACAAGAGTTTCTGGAGGAAATGTCCTTGTAGCTAACACAGGTATTAGTCATACATGGAGATTTAGGAATGCACAAGGAGAAAGGGGGGTTTCTCTACTTGAAGTTAGTTATGCATGACAATGATATACAGATTATATTTATATAGTTATCAAAAATTGTAAAGCATAGCACTTTTGGCAAAGTGTTAGTTCTTTTAATGCTGCCATTTGGAAAGGCCTTCTCAGCTCTCCTTCTGCAGGCTAAAGCTGGAAAGGCTGGCAGCCAAGAGCAGGGAGATGATCTGAGTGAGCTGCTCTGGGGCTGGGAGTACAGAGTCAGCAGTGGGGTGGCCGGCCCAGCATGCATGAAGTCAGTTCCATCTAATGAAAAACCAGTCCGGGCGATGCACACCTATAATTCCATCAGACACAGGCAGATCCCCACAAGTTTGAGGCTAGCCTGGTCTACACAAGTCCATCTCCCACAAACACACTCCTCCACAAGATCTGACAGACAGGAAAGAATTAACTAGTTTCTGCCTGAGAGATCCAGACGAGGAGAGCACTTCCCAAGGAAATAAAGAGCTCTGCTAGAACCTAACTCAAACTCCTGCCGTACTTTCTGCAACCTGACAAACTGAAATCAGAATTCTGAAGTTAGCAGCTGGTGGCGGCACGCCTGAATCGGCCAATGCTGAAGGTGAGGGAGGAGAACCACATGTCTGAGGCTAGCCTGGGTTATACCGTTGTGAGGCATGACAGGGCTTGTCTGTAATCCCTACGCTGCAGGGGCAGGGGAAAAAGGAATGATGACGATTGCAGGCCAGCCTGGTCCAAATAACGAGTTCCAAGCCAGTAAGGACCCTGTCTCAAAACAAAAGAGAAAGCAAAGGAGGGGCTGGAGAGATGGAGAGCACCTGTTGCTTTCCCCTAAGACCTGAGTTCAGGTCTCAGTACCTATGTAGGATTAGGATGACTCACATCCTAATTGTGATTCCAGCTACAGGGGATGTCCTATGCTCTCCTGACCTCTGTGGACACACACACAAATAAAAATTAACCAAGTGGTTTTTTTTTTTTTGTTTGTTTGTTTTTTTTGAGACAAGGTCTCACTGTGTAGCCCTGATCAGCTGAGAACTTACTATGTAGACCAGGCTGGTCTCACACTCAGAGATTTACCTGGCTAAAAATAAACCCAAAAACAACAAATATACCTTTTTGGTGAAAAGAAAAAGAAAAAATGTAAGCAAGAATACCAAACGCATAACTCTATATTTTGTTTTGGGGGTTTGGTACAGGAAATTGAGCCCAGGGCCTTGCACACACTGGGCAAATACCCAACCTCTGAGCTCCATGCCCAGCCTCCAGACACAGAGAAGCACACCTGTATAGTACACTCTGGAAATAACTTCATGCTATTACAAAACTCAACAAGAAGCGACAAAGAACCAACAGGAAACAGTCGCTATCTAAGGTCACAGAAATGTAGGAAATGTCTGAGGGTCGCTCTCACGTCAGCAGTGGTCACCATGAGCTACATGGGCCACGAGACAATTACCCCTTAGAGCAGTTGATAACTCAGTTGTCAGCCCACCAGAGGAATTACTCTCAGATGGGGCAACCCGTCAGCAAGGCTTGTGAACCACTGACTCGGGAAGCTGCTGCAGCAACAGTACGATAGCTCCCCATTTCCACCATTTTCATGTGATGTGCACATGGAATCCCATGATTACATCTCAGTCTTATGGGCACACACATTTGTGGATGGTCAGGAGGATGACTTCTCTCTACACTATGTTCTCCATCATTAAATGCCTTACTGACAGAACAAGTTGGCCAGATGTGCATCCTCTGGACAGATCACAAATGGAACTTTGACAGATCCTACTTATGAAATTGCAGGTGTCTGGCCTTGTAGGATCTAAGCCCTTCAAGGGATTTATGGTGAACTAGGGCGGTATTGCAGGTGCCTGGCCTTGTTACAGTCCTTTAAGAGATCAACAGTACCTATGTTGCCCTAAGGTTCCTTCACTGGCACCTCCCTGCTCTGACTGAAAATAGCAATTAACACTCTGAGCCAGTTTTTGATGCAAGGTTTTAGATTCAGTAGACTAACTGTGTTTAGGTCCTAGGATTCAGGAGATAAGAAAGGCTGTTAACTGACTCTGTCCAGATATTATTAATCACACTTAAGAAAAGTAAAACAGGGCTGGAGAGATGGCTCAGTGGTTAAGAGCATTGCCTGCTCTTCCAAAGGTCCTGAGTTCAATTCCCAGCAACCACATGGTGGCTCACAACCATCTGTAAAGAGGTCTGGCGCCCTCTTCTGGCCTTCAGGCATACAGACAGAATATTGTATACATAATAAATAAATAATATTAAAAAAAAGAAAAGAAAAGAAAAGTAAAACAGTCCACGTATTCTTTGCCTCTTCCTTAGATCTCTCATTGGTAGTCTCTTCCCTTTGTGAGAGATAGCTGGGACCTCCTCACAGCTGCAGCTGGGTTGCCTGCAAACTAGCAGGTAAGTTCTCCTCCGCATCTCCAAAGAGTGCCTGTGTCCCTGAGAATTTTCCTGGCAGCCTTTTTATTACTAACGAGTTGCTAATGAATGGAGGAATACATGCCTGGGGTTTTGTAACGGCAAGAAAAATAAGAATCCAGAGATAAAACTAAGGATGCAGAAGAAATGAGCCTGAAAGAATGTAGAATGTAGAGAAGAATGATAGACTTGGGACAGGAAGTTAGAGCTAAGAAATTAGAGACAATACAGACAAGGGAATCTGAACCAAAGAAGAAATAAGGAAAATGACCCTCAGACACTGTGTGACATAACTGTAAAATTCTCTCACTCCTTCCTCCCCAGATTCTGGGAGGTTTTTCTCTGAGGAATCCTGGGTAGGGGCTGAGACTCTCCCTCTCTAAGACAGACCAATCACAGGAGAGATTTGCCTCTACTCTGAGAAGGACACGTTGAGCACACAGAAGAAATGCTTAACACACGAGGCAGGAATGGAGAATTATTTGGCAGGCACAATATTGGGAGATATATATATTTAACCCCAGCTCTCCTTTACTGCAGAGCTGGGGTTAAACCGGGAGACACCTGTGTGCTGCTCGGCAAGCCCTGTTCTTATACAGAGCCAGATTCCAGCAGCAAAGCAGGACTGCAGTGGCACCAGTGACAGAGGGCTCATCTAACATGCACGAAGACTGGGCTCTGTTCCACATCAAAGCAAAAAGATACAGACAGAAAATGGTTGAGAAAAATACAGTAACCCAAAACCAAGAAGGAAGTCTCGTGGGAAGCCACAGGATTCAGGCAGCTGGGAAGAACTAAGACTAGCACAGGGGACAGAGGCGGAGCAGCAATGCAGGCGTGCATGACTCACAAAACCAAATCTGTTATCTACCAAGTTTTGAGGGGAGAAAGGAACCTTTCCAGCGAGAGGGATCTGCCAGTGCTGTCTCCAGGGCAGCACCTGTGCCACAGAGCTAACGTGAAGCAGGCAGCACAAGAAGCGGTCCCTGTAAGATGGCATGTTCTCCAACTGCTCATCTGCTTTGTGGCCAGACGGCTGAGGTGAGGCTGCTTTCCACACTGTTCCTTCAGCTCCTGAGCCCTGTAGAGTACCCTTCCTCAGCCCAGGCCTGGGCCTTCCCAAGAGGCTCCCAGATCCACAGAACAGGTCTATGGAGATTTCTTGGTGTGTCTTAAAGGAGGGAAGTCACACTCCAGAGCAGCATTCTTCCGACTCTCCTCTAGACACTGCTAAGGCGCCAGCCCTCTGGAGAACCTCCAACAGGCTCCTTCATATTACACACACCAACTCAACCGGGTGCTCTGATGTGCTCAAATGCCACCTCTCCAAGCTGCTCAGTAACTGTTAACAGTGCATACCCGTGACAGTGACAACGGCTTTAAGAAGTGACACTGAAGGATGTTCATAGGCCAGAGCCCTGGGGAGATAAACTCAGAAAAGGGAAACTGGGTTTTGATGCAACAATTTAAAAATAAAGTCCCAAACACATAGCTACAGAGAAGGAAGAAAAAAAATCAAATTTTTGAACTCATGAGGTGGTCGCTCCAGGACCACCAGATGTGGACTAACCGTGGCCCATCTCCGTCTGGGCGTAGGTACCAATTATCTGGAGATCTTGGGACGGACGTATCCATTTCTCTTGCTGAGCAGTGGTGCCCTGATTCAGCAAGGTAGGAATAAACATGGAGTAATTGAGGCCCACAGGTTCCACAAAATTGACCAAATGTAGTCTACAGGAGAGAAAAGAAAAGCGTCTCAGCCTCACGCAGGACACTGCACCCACATTCACTCTCGTTAGCCTGTCGTTAGCGTGTGCCATGACGGGGAAGGAGGCACGTGGAAATCAGAGGCAACAACTGCTCTCCTTTCATCTTCGGGTTCCGGAAATCAAACCCCATTTGTCAAGCTTGGCAGCAAGTACCCTGAACCATCTTGCCAGCCCCACAACCAAACAAAAAATCTTGGCCCTGAGGATGAAGAGTAGAAAATTGAGGACCCCCGTTTATTAAACTAAATGTAGCCTCCACCGTTTTCTGTGTAAAAAGCCAAGCACAGGCTCTTAGGGAGCAGCTCTTCTCTGCACCCCAGGGCAGAGTCTTCCTGTCTTCCTCTGGTGCAGGATGGGCCAGCTCCTCAGCCAGCTCAGCTCGTTCCATCACTGAGCCGCAGCCTGGAGTCTTCAGAATTCTTGTCTCATTTTTAAAAAAAGAAGTCCTGTATAAATTATACACTTAGTCTGAAACAATGGGCTTGGTTGTCACCTCTGTTCTGACTGCATGGGTGCTTTAGTGTGGGTATGGGTGCTGTGTGCGTACTGCGGTCTTCCTTTCCGGGTTAACTTGCTTTGAGGATCAAAAGGAACTCCACAGACGTTATTATAGGCCTGCTAGCAAAACTCCTGAAAATAATTTATTTTAATGTTTTGTTTCTCTTCTCTCACTGCATAACCCTGGCTGACCTAGAATTTGCCATGGGGCGCAGCGTAGTCTCAACTCCTGGGATCTTCACCCATTAGGCCCAGGCTGGGACTGCAGGCATCTGCCACCACACCAGGCATCAGGAACAGTACAACAGCCTCTGCCTAAACGACCTAAGCACACAGCCTGATGAATAAGTACGTATCACAGGGCAGGACCGTGGATCTCTGAAGATCTCCAGGACATCTAGTGGAAGTGATTTAAAAATTGCCCCCAACGGCCAGTGAACATCGCTTCAGATTAAGGAACTGCACTTGGCCCTGAAAACCAGTCCGCAATCACCTTCACGTCAAACAGAACCTAGGAAACACAAACTGAGTGCACCAGTCAGGGCTGTGCCTGCCATGGACTTCCTAGGGGTCTGTTCTGCATTTCAGCCAGGTGTGCACCCCAAGAACTTGAAGTACAAAGGCTCTGTCACTTAAGTGACTCTGATGTCTTCTCAGGGGTGACTGGAAGAGGTGTCACCCAGGAGACACTGAGCTTCACAAGGAGCAAAGCATGGGCTACAGTAGGAAAGGAAGACTGCCACTCCAGAGGGGCTAGCACCTTAAAAGCAGCAACAGCAGCAAACACAGTAACTGCCTACTGCTTCATTCCCGCAATAACACTGCACAACCAGCCAGACTCTTCCGCTTCCCATCAGTCACAGCCACTCCGAGACACTTTCCATGTGGACGCTCTTGGGACTGACACTGCCAATCAACCCAAACGAGCCAATGTGATGACAGAGTCTGGCAGAGGGAGTGACTTCTGTGTCCTCCATCCTGGGGAATGTTAATGGGTGTTGCTCAGTGAGCCTTTGCTTCGAGGTCGATGGTTTCAGTTGTGTGGTCAGGGCACAAAGATCCCTTTCCAGCTGAGGTAGGTGCTAAGTCTAGCATGGAGAAGGCACTACACTCACTGCCCAGCAAAACAAATAAAACATTTTTTGGGTATGCTGGGACCAAAGGTCCAAATGACCGTGAGATAACTGACTAGCCAACCTAAGCACATAGATGATGAGAAAGCCCCAAATAATGAATGCCTCTGTCTCTGGTTTCTGTAACATCATATTCATTAACTATTATTTTAAACTGGGTGAAACTGGTGTGGCACATGCCTGTTACCTCAGAGAAACAGAAGGCTACGGCAGGAGGACCTTAACAGACGGGAAGCTGGAGGGAATACGAACAGAAAAGGGAACTAAAAGCCTGGAGACAGACAAATGTCTAAGTCACCCTCCAGGGAAGACTGGCATGACATCCCAGCAGGCCTTCTGAGTCTCACTAAAACCATCGCTATCGCACACTTCCCATTTCCACGAGTGCGTGTGTGCGCATGTATGGAAAAAGGAAACAGGAATTTCTGAGAAATAAGGTGTAAGTGGGGAGCCAAAAATGGTGACTATGTAACACACCCACATTTCCACGAGGGAACTGAAAAGGCTGAACGCCTTAGTAAACACTGAAAACTGGGAGATGAAGTTATAAAGATATTAACAGAGGCAGCTTTAGGAAATGAGAGTAGCTGGGTGTGACAGCACTATCCTATGAGCCAAGCACTCAGAAGGCAGAGCCTGCGGATTGCTCAGAGGGCAAAGACAGCACAGTCTGCACAGTGAGTTCCAGGCTAGCCAGGTCTACAGTGAGACCCTGCCATTACGGAGGAGGGGACAAGTAGGACACAAACACCAATGTTTCCTTAATAAAAATTTCTGTCGTTTCCCCCTTGCCCAGACCACCTGAAATATAACTGAAGAACAAAGTCTGTAGCTGGAGATTTTGCACACCTGAGAATCCAAACACTTAGAACTGAAGCGGGGGTCGGGGCATGGAGAGAGGGAAGGTCTGGGCTACAAAGGATTAGAACTGAGGCGGGGGTCGGGGCATGGAGAGAGGGAAGGTCTGGGCTACAAAGGAAGACCCTGTCCTGATCAGAACACAACAAAACAAGGAATAAAAAATCTGAAAAACTGTACTTTAGTGATGTTTAATCCCCCTGCAGGTGCTTGTCAAGAAATCAGACTTCAGTAATGAATTCAGAGGGACCGGGGACAGAGCCCAGGACCTCAGACACAACCAAGTGTTCTATCATCAGAGCTCTACACCTTAACCAGCTCCAAGGAGTCAGCTTTAAAAACCCCAACTGTCACTCTTAAGAACATTTTCTTTTCATTGCAAACGACGTAGTCAAAAGCACTCAACAAGCTGAGGCCAGAAGTTTTCCAAAATTCCCAGCGTGGGCTACAGGGTAAGACCCTGTCTCTAGGGCAGGGAGACAAAAGGGATCTCAGTGGTTAAAAGCACTGGCTGCTCTTTCAGAGGAACTGGGTTTGATTCCCCGCACCCGCATGGCACAACTCACAACCATCTGTAACTCCAGTTGCAGATCCCATACTGCTTTTGGTCTCCTCAGGAACCAGGTAGGCAATTAGTATATAGACAATTAGTGTACAGACATACATGTATGCAGAACATCCACACATACTATTTCTTTAAAATATCAACTTTGTAAAGTAACAATACAGTCTTTAAAAAAAAAGAAAAAGAAAAAAAGAAAGAAGTCCCAAACAAGACATAAAAGAGACCATTTTAAGAATAAATAGCTGAGTGATGGTGGTGCAGGCCTTTAACCCCATGGTTCAGGAAGGCAGAGGCTTTGAGCTCAAGGTCAACCTGGTCTACAGAGTGAGTTCCAGGACAGTCAGGGCTGTTACACAAAGAAATTGTCTTGAAAAACAAAAAAAACAAGAAAAAAGAAAAAGTAATAAATACATAACAAAGAGACCAATAAACGCCCTGAATCCTCAGAAATCCCTCTGCTTCGTCAATTCTAGACTCCTCCCACGTTTTGTTTATCTGATATATTTTACAATACATGGTAAGTTTTGGGTTCCTTCCTAAATTTTTATTACCAGATGAAACAGACTTGCAACCTGGTCCGCACGAAGGCAAAATAAGCCATCTACAATAGTGATACGGAACCAGGCAAAGTGGAATAATGCTAAGTTCTTCTTAATGGCACATAAAATCCTGCTGTCAGTTCCAGTCAGAACTCAAGATACAGGAGCGATCACACGCTCACAGATGCCTGACTCCAGGCACTGCCGAGACCAGCTTCCAGCCTCCTCCGTTACCTTGTACTAACCTCTTGTACTGATCTCCTTGTCACAGGGCACTGAAACTTATCGCTGCTATTTCATCTGAAGAGGAGGCATGGCCCACAGGAAGGACTCTGCTCTAGGCCTCTGTGATCTCATTCTTGTCTGGCTGCAGATTGCACTCCAACACAGGTTATGAAACATGCTGAATCACCCATTGACAGAACAAACAAGCAACGCTTCTCTTTTATGTTGCTTTGAGAAGGTATAAAATCTCAGCAATTTTCAAGTTTGTAGATCCAACATAGTCCACTTTCTAACTCTTTCCTAGGATTTACTGTGCTCCAAAATACCACTAATTACAAAATTTACAAACAAAAATGATTATTTGCAAGTTGGTGAGTGTTCTCACATTTGAGCCACCAAACTAAACACAAAAGAGTTTAAATGTAGCTCAGACTGTCCTCAAACTGGACAGACACCAAGGTGACCTGATCTGCCTCCACCTCCCGCGGGTAGGATTACAGGCACTCGTCACCGCGCACTTTACAAGTTATTTCTGATTAGTACGATTGACTGGAGATGTGAGGAAGTCTTTAAGGGGCAAGCAAACCACTTCACCGTCACAGTAATGACCAAATCAAGTCAGGAGCACTGGCTGCACTGTACCGGCAGCACGAAGGAAGGAGGAAGGGCAGGACTTGCAATCATTTACATCAGTTCTTAAAAACATAGTCTTAATAAAATTTAATCTCTTTAAGACAGGCAAGGTGGCTCATACCTGCAACCCCAGCACTTAGGAAACTGAGGCAGGAGAAGTACTTGGAGTTGGAGGTCAGTTTGTACTACATAGTGAGTTTCAGGCCAACCTATCCTCAAAACCAAACTTTCTATTGTTGCTCAGGCACTGTAGATTTAACATAGGGCCTGGAGCATACCAGGTAAAAGTGAGCTATACTTCTGGTCCAAATTTTTCTTTCTTCTTCTTTTTAATTAAGTTATTTACGTACAAGAACGCTCTGTTTGCAAGTACACTTGCAGGCCAGAAGAGGACGCTGGGTCCCATTATAGCAGCTATGAGCCACCACGTGGTTGCCGGGACCTCTAGAAAAGCAACCAGTAGTTTTAACCTCTGAGTCCTCTTTCCAGCTCCTTTCATTTCATTTTTATTTATTTATTTGGTAATGCTAGGCACTGAACTAGGTAATTGTGCATGCTAAGCACCTAGGCAAGGGCTCTACTGTTGTGGTAATCTCTAGCCTCCCAATTTTACTTTTATTGATGAGAACACTGGAGTTTCTGTACAATGTAAAAACCCAGAAATAAAAGATAAGTGTCAGAGATGGCACAAAATGTGTGCCCGTTAAGGCTAAGGGAGAAAAGAGTCTCTATGAATAGCTGAAAAGCAAAGTGTAAGAGAGCGAGAGAAAAGGACCCGCTCCCCAGCAACAGGACTACGGCAGGACTATGCACAGGATGGGATGGAGGCTACACTACATTCCACAATGCTGGGTTCTTAGAATGTGGTTTAGAATCAGATTCATTCTGAGACCTCTCTCACATTTCCCATTACTTTATACCCGAGGTACACACTAGAGAAAAATCTGCTGTTATTCCAAAATATTTAAATATCTGGTCTTGCAACTACAATGTTTCTCAGAAAATCAGTAGGCCTTTCTTCCCTCGCCTTCAGTGCTGACGATCAAACCCTGGGCCTGTGACTACCTGGCAACCTGTGTCCACTGAGCCACACCCGGCACAGGCAGCTCTCTCACAAAGTGCAAGCTCACTCTGCGTTTAAATAGCTGTAACTGGGATGTTTGAAACAAAATAATTTTTATTGCTATTTATTTGTCTTGTCTTTTTTTTTTTTTCTGAGATAGGGTTTCTCTGTAGTCTGGAACTAGCTCTGTAGTCCAGGCTGGCCTCGAACTCTGAGATCAGCCTGCCTCTGCCTCTTGAGCGCTGGAATTAAAGATGTGAACCACCATCACCCTGGCTCAAAAGAATTTTTTAAATTACATTTTAAATTTAATTCTACTGTGTGGGGGAGGGTACACAAAGGCCACCTCTAGTAAACAGGTCAGAGGACAATCTCTGATTCTTTAATGTGGGTCCTGGGGATTGAACTCAGATCATTAGGCTGGGTGGCAAGCTCCTCTACCCGCTGAGTAACCCCCTCAACCCTTAAACTTTTAAAAAAATGAGAAACAAAATTGAGCATATCCATTCATATTAGCACTTTACAAATATCCCACTGAAAGACTTAGATGCAAAAGTAATATTATTTTGGGCTGCAGAGATGGCTCAGAGGTTAAGAGCACTGACTTTACTTCTAGGGGTCCTGAGTTCAATTCCCAGCAACCACATGGTGGCTCACAACCATCTGTAATGAGATCTTGTGCCCTCTTCTGGAGTGTAGGCACACAGGCATCCAGAACACTGTATACATAATAAATAAATAAATCTTTAACACAAAAAAAGTAATATTATTTTTCACACATAAAACTGAATCATGAAATGTTCAATTTGAGCCTTCAAACACCATTTAAGATGAAAAAGGCCTCCCCAAACTGCAGCTGTAGTATGGACTTGCACTACGGTGTTAACGGGCACCTACTTTTTAAACCACATGATCTCTTCAGGATCTGAGATGCCAAATTCCCTCATCTTCTTCACCATGCTGGCACTCTTCTTAACAGCCACCTCGTAGCGCTGGCTGCGAGTGAGGAAGTTATAGTCTTCATGCTGGAAGTCCGGGTCGTTCAGAATCAAGTTCTCTGCAAGGGAGTTAAATGACATCAAGAGAAACAGCATTCACCCTCCCGGAATCCCAGCAGATTAGAACGGAGAGCTGTTCCCTCCTAAGCAGGGAGTCCCGGCTTCCCCTAAACTCCAGGGACCCCAAGTTCTCATCCATTGGGGTCTTCCGTCTGGTTCTGGAGAGGAGGGAGGCCTGACGCTCCGGCCTCACCGATTTCTCGGCGGCGCCGGGTGTTCTCCGCACTGCCATCCAGGATGTTCGTGATCAGCTCGGGGTTGAAGGTGGCGGCGGCCCGCTCCTTGCGCAGGTCGGGGTTCATGGTGGCGGCCAGGGTTGGTGGCAGAGGAGGTGGCGACAGAAGTGACAGACGCCAAAACGACGACGACGCGGATCTGCTGCCGGAGCGCAGAGCCTGCCCTAAGAGCTCGGCCGAGGCCCCGCCCCGCCGGCTCCACCACGCCCCGTCCCCGCCGCCACTCCCCGCGTGACCGGCTGCGATCTCGGAAGCCGGGACCGCCCGCCGGACGGACGAATCCCCTGCCGCGGGCCAGGGGAGGTCCCCGAGCCGCTCTTCGTCAAGGAGACCAAGGTAGAAGGTCAAGAAATAGCTGCGGAGCAGGGAGAGGAGCGGGGCGCTAGCGGGCGTCGCCACTCCCGGTTCACGTGATCTCTCTGGGCCGAAAGGAGACGCGCGCCGCGGATTGGCCAGGGCTTTGAGGGGCGGGATTGCGCCTGCGCAGTGGGGACTCGCTTAGTTCCAGGCTTTGGGGTCGTCTCGCTAAAGTCTCCCCGGAAGCGAGAAAGGGACTGGGTGACAAGGCCCTAGGGTGGGGTGAGGAGGCTAGTAGAGGGAAGGTGGTGGTTTTCCTGGACTCCACACAAATTGGAGCAAAAGGGGACCAGGACAAAAGTCACGTTCGGGAGAAGGTTCATTACTGTTGGTTAAAAATTTTGACGACTTGCGAGGCTTGGGGCTCTTGGGAAACTTTGCGGTTTATCAGCGGACAAGGATGTGGATTGAGAGGGAACAGGACGTGTTTCTCTATGTTTAGTAGTCCAAGACGTTTTCTTCCTAACCTGGTAGGGCCTACAAGTTTTGAAACCAGACTTCGGTTTGCTTTATCATCATCATCATCAAAAATGTAATTGTACGCTTGCAAAGCTCCAATGTACGACTTATAACAAAGAGTTTCTTAGCCTCCAGGACAGCCAGTTTTCGCCAATTTGCTTTTTAGTTCTTATTCCTTAAAAAGCCCAAAGTTGCGGGGCGTGGTGGTACTAGCTTTGACTCCCAGCACAGTTCAAGGCCATCCTGGTCTATAGAGAGAGTTCCAGCACAGCAAGGGCTACACAGAGAAACCCTGTTTCCCAAAGCAAGAAGTGCTAAGTGGTCGGCTGGAGATACAGTTTACATAGTGCTAATCTAGCATGCTCAGAGCCCAAGACTTGCTCCCCAAGCATCCCATAGACTGGGCACGGTGGTACAGGTTTGTAATTCCAGGTTGAGGTTTGAGGATCTAGGAGTCCAGGCCGTTTTCAGCTGCGCAGAGTTTGAGGGCAGCCTGGGTTGTGTGTTGACCTGTTTCCAAACGTTTTTAAATGCTAAAAAAAATGCACTTTCTTCATTTAATTTAGTGGTCTTTCGACTTCACGCCACATGGGAGAGCTACAGTCAGTTACGGCTCTCTAACTTGCCCTTGAAACAACATATTTAAGACCCATTTCCATTAACATTACCTCGGATGGATACAGTCAATGAAGGATTTATCTTGAAAACAAAATTTAAGGAAGCCCCCCATTCAAATTTTTTTTCTTTTTTTGATTTTTCGAGACAGGGTTTCTCCGTAGCTTTTGGTTCCTGTCCTGGAACTAGCTCTTGTAGACCAGGCTGGCCTCGAACTCACAGAGATCCGCCTGCCTCTGCCTCCCGAGTGCTGGGATTAAAGGCGTGCGCCACACCACCGCCCGGCCCCCAATTCAGTATTTTAATGTGCTGCTTTTTTCTCTTGGGGCTGGAGATGGGCCTCTGAGCTACATCCCCAGCCCCACAATATTTATAAATTCAAAAGAGAAAAATAAGCAAACTGCTAAAACTTTTAAATAAAGACCATATCATTGTTGCTTCTTGTGCTTTCTGCTCGGGCTCCCGTCCGCCTGCACAAGGCTCTGTCGCTGAGGCTGTTTTCAAGGCGCTGATACTTCATTTAGTTTGGTTATTGAGAATTGTGTTCCTCTTATCAGAAGCTTATATCCCAAAATACACTCTGCACAAGCAATTAATAAGATAAGGTTGAAGCTATTGCTTAATGGGGTAAAAAGGGACCATTTCATGGTAAACCTTTGGCAGACTCTCACAGAGGGGACGATCTGGTCAAATAGTGACAGTTGGAAATTTGACCTGGCCTCTTGGTACAGGCCTGGAATCTCAGCTACTTAAGACAGTGAGGCAGGAGGATCACAAGTTCAAGACCACCCGGAGTTGCAGAGAACTGTCAGTTTGGTTTACAGCAGCGCTGGGTCTTAATTGCAGTAAGAATTATGTAAGAATCACAGTACAGGTTGGGTGTGGTGGTGAAGCCTTTAGTCCTAGCACTCGGGAGGCAGAGGCAGGTGGGATCTCTGTGCCTTCCAAACCATCCTGGTCCACAGAGTGAGTTCCAAGCCAACTAAAGCTACATGAGACCCTGTCTGAAAACAACAACAAAAGAATCACAGTACAAAATGGGAAGTGACAAGGTATTCAGAGGTCAGACTGGCTGCTAATGTTGAAACCGTCCATCTGGGTGGGCAGCAGGCAGCACTAGAAATACTGGCGAAGGTAGAATTCCGGCAGATTTCGTTCACATGAATAGTAAGGTACGGCTTTAGATCAGTGCTCAGCAGGTATGGGGTGGGTGGTTTCAGTTTTCATCCTCTTCATGAATCCAGTCACCCATCATATTAAATAATATCCCAGAAACTGGACGTAGCCATCAGAACCCCTGCCTCATGGGATGATAATCTGGTGAGCGAAACAGACGAAAACAAAAAAACAGACCAAACTCTTTGAAATCTGATTGTTTAGTAAACCGCAATGAAGAAATAGATCAGTGTGGAGGTGTAGAGTGAGTAGGGCTATAGAGAAATCTATGTTAGTGGTAGAGGAGGAAGACACTACTGTCAAAGAGCTATTTGAAAATATCTAAAGTAGAAGGGACTTGGAAAAAAAGAAACAGTCTGGTAAGTCTAGAAAAGAAAAACTTCACATTGGGCTGACAAGATGTGATGTGGGAGGTCCTTCTATGTGTTGCTTTTATTGGTTAATAAAGAAGTTGCTTTCGGCCAATGGCTTAGCAGAGTATAGCTAGGCTGAATCAGGAAGACCTCTCTTAAAGGAGCTGCAACATGCCACCAGCAAGCAGAGCCCATCCGAAAAAAAAAATATATATATATGGCTAAACTTTGTTTTTTAGTGTCTAGAATTCCTTTCCAAGCCCTCTCAGGTTTTATGTGGCTTTAGCTAGCACACGTTGGAGCGCCAATTTGTTATAGGAGAGCTGCTTGTTTCTGGCTGCTCAGGCCTGAAATAACCACACAGAAACTGTATTGATCCAATCACTGCTTGGCCCATTAGCTCTAGCTTCTTCTTCTTTTTTTTTTTTTTTTTTTTGGTTTTTCGAGACAGGGTTTCTCTGTGGCTTTGGAGCCTGTCCTGGAACTAGCTCTGTAGACCAGGCTGGTCTCGAACTCACAGAGATCCTCCTGCCTCTGCCTTAAAGGGGATTAAAGGCGTGCGCCACCATCGCCCGGCTAGCTCTAGCTTCTTATTGGCTAACTCTTACATCTTAATTTAACCCATTTCTATTAATCTGTGTATCGCCACAAGGCTGTGGCTTAGCAGGTAAAGTTCTGGTGTCTATGCCAGCTACATGGCTTCTCACTTGATTCCGCCCACTCTCTCTATATATATGTCTATTCCAGCCTGGCTATATTCTGCTAAGCCATTGGCTGAAAGCAACTTCTTTATTCATTAACCAATAAAAGCAACACATAGACAGAAGGACCTCCCACATCAAAGATGGCTCAGTCGATAAAGGCTCTTGCCTCCTGAAGATGCAAGCCTACAGGCCTGAGGTCAAGCCCCAGAACCCACATAAAGGTTTGAAAGAGGAGAACCAACTCCACGAGGTTGTTTTCTGACCTCGATTGTGTGCTATGGCAAGCATATACCTGCACATATACCAACAATAAATGCTATTTATCATAAAAAAAATATTTGTCAGGTGGCAGAGGCAGGAAGAGCTCTGTAAATTCAAGGCCAGCCTGGTCTACTGCATAATGTTGTGTGTTGCAGGCCAGCTAGAGAACTGTGGCTTTTGTCTGAAAATAACTGAATAAAACTTGTTTGAGAATCAGGAAGAGCTCTCGGCTACAGATTCTGGGTTGATCATGAGCAAGAGGAAGGACAAGGGGAAATAAAGGCTAAAGCTAGGCCACTGCCACCCAGTGTGGCACCATGGGCCAACCTCAGACTGGGTTCTGTTGGTTACAGTGAAAGGCTGCCTTTCACCCCACTTGTGGTGAGTCCTGTAGTCTGACCCCCATGTGTGGATTTTCATTTTTGCACACCCAGGAATCTTGATAGGGATCAAAGAAGCAGCTCCCCTTTCACCCAGATTCCCTGGTTAATGTTTGTCACGGTTGCTTTGCCGATAATCTGCCGGTCAGCTTTGTTTATTCCCTCCCCTTTGGAGCTGTTTGAGGAAACATGGAAGTCCTCCTTTGCTTACCAATATCTAAGAATCTCCTAAAAATAAGGACATGCACAGGAGAATTACGGTTAAGGTAACGGAACGTTGACGAAACACTCCTGTCTGACCTACATCCCTTTTCATGGTTTTACTGTTGTCCTTTATTGCCCTTTACCAGATGTTTTGCTAGTCTGGAATCTCATCTGGCATCATAAGTGACATTATGTTACCTGCTGGGGGCTGTTGCAATAGAATGCCACAGAGTGACTTAATTTACAGGCTCTCTAAATCTGAGATCAGAAGGTCCATGGAGCTGCATAGTTGTGTACACTCTAAATGCCAGTGGTTGGGAAACTGGGCCAGGAGTTAGAAGCCAGCCAGGGCCACAGAGTGAAACCCAGTCTTTAAAAGAAAATGTCCAAGGGCTGGAGAGACTGCTCTTTCTTGCAGAGGACCTGAGTTCAGTTCCCAGTTCCCACCACCCATGTCAGATAGCTCACAGCTGCCTGAAACTCTAGTCCCAGGAGATTGACTCTTCTAGCCCCTATAAGCATGCACACCTGCACATACACACACATAAGTAAAAATAAATTTTTAAAAAATGAAGATAAGGACCTAGAGAGATAGCTCAGTGGTTAAGAACTCTTATTGGCTGGGCAGTGGTGACACACACATTTAATCCCAGCATTCAGGAGGCAGAGGCTGGCGGATCTCTGTTAGTTCAAGGCCAGCCTGGTCTTC